AAAGCTCAAAAGCTTTTCTCACGATTAAAACGCACTCTGCTTAGTGTGCTCAAGTTGAAGCTCAGAGTATAATTCTGAGTACCCCGAATAAAGTATCCATGAGCGTTGGCTCTCAACTGGCGCTCTTTCAATTACTCGCAGTAATTTAATAGTTGCTTTAATCAATAAGTCGATTTGAATAGCGTGTCATCATCATTTGTATTGAGCTGTGGCCCATCTGGGGCGTACTTTTTCCGCGAGGAGAGCATTTCATTTGCTGCTTTAATTGCCGTTTCGAAATCAATTGTGCGACCTTGAGGCGGGGGCATTTTAATTCGCTTGCCGGGCACCAAATAAGCAAACGCGCTGACCTGGCACCGCTCACGTGAAACCAACAACAGCCTACCCCCCCGCGGCTCTGTGAGCCCCGCGCTGCCCCAAATCGCTGCGCTTTAATTACTCTTGCGTAAAATTGCTTCAACTCGCAACTTTGTGGAGTGTTAAGCGTTTGGCACGAAATCGTCAAACGGCTGACCCTAAAGCAAAAACTGAAAAAAAGGCAAATAAAAACGGGGCGAAAAGAAAGAAACGTCAATGGAAAACGCCGACACTGGCCTGAATGACGCTCACTGAAATTACGACGCGTCCTGGCTCCCAAACACAAATGCGAACCCAAACCCAAACCGACCCTCAAACCGAAACCGAAACCGAAACCATCGAACAAACCGCAACCGCAGACGCAGTTTGCGCCCACTTTATTTCCTACCTTTTGCCAATGCTCCGGACATCAACAAAGCGTCGAGCATTTGAGGCTGGCCCCAAAGGCGAGACGTTTCGCGTGAGCGACAACTTAAGCGCCAACAACAAGGCGCACCACCCAACCAACCAACCACCCAACCGCTCTGTACACATAACCCATACAATACATGAGTGTGCAAAAGTTTTGCACAGCAAAAGCCACTCAGAGCTGAAACCACTCGGAACAAGCCGTTTCTGCACAGGATAAGAAGTGGCAGAGGGGGGATGCAAGCTGGAGTGGGGTGCTGGCAAACGCATTCCACGAGTATTGAAGTGTGTGTGCGTGTGCTCGAGTGTGTGTGTGCGTGTGCGACCCACAAAACAACTGAACCGTAGCGCAGCGTGTCGCATTGCTGTGGCACCGCCAGCGACCGGCAGCTAGCCACCAGGTGGCAGCCACCACATGGATGACACTTGCTCAGGCTCGCCCCACAAATTGCTCAAGTTGCGGCTATGGTCGATGTCAGATCTTCGATTCCATGCAAATTGATTAAACTTCGAAGAGCCCTCCGGGGCTGCATCCGACCCCAGCTTGCCCCGGGGATACAGCCACACCTGCAACTGCAACGGCAACTGCAACAGCAGGTCGCGCGCTTCCTGCCCAGCCGTAGTTAGCTAATCGCCTCAGTTGATGTCTGCTGTCTGCTGTCTGCTCTCTCTCTCTCTATCCCCCCCTCTCTCTCTTTCTCTCTCACTCTCATGAAACACACTTCCGCAGTGCATATCCCGTTTGTAATCGATTTCAAAATGTGCAGCAAGGACGTGACAGCAGGACACAGCGTCAGCAACTTTGAGAAACTTAACAGCGCGACATTTCGAGTAGAATAAATAAAAGACAACAGCTGCACAACGAAATTTGCATACTCTTTCGTAGTATATAGATTCCATATGGTAGATATTTTAAGAGAATACTGCTTGTACATTATCCCATTCACGACTCTTCCTGTGACCTAGTGTCTATTATATCGGAATTGAAATATGAAGTATGCAATTTATCTTCAAATTTTTGACATTCAATTAACTTAGACTTAACGTTTACTCATCATCTACAATTAACTATGTTCTCTGAGGTTAATTAAACCTCATTGTGAATAGATACAAAAATGCAGATCCACATTTATTGAGTATAGTATGTGGTAGATCATTCAAGTTTCTTTGAACTTTTAAATAAAGCTCGCGCGGGTGAACCAATCTTGAAATAAACTCTTCACCTTGATTTAATCATAATAATAAATCTTGACTGATTAATTGTTTATTTATAAGTATATTGAACATAGAAGACAGATACTATAAACTATCAAAAATATTAAATTTGGGATCGATTATTCCTTGTTCAGTTGCCTGAATAATTTGGTCACTTAAAAGCCCAGTTAGTTGGGACTTAAATACTTGACTTTAACTTGAGCTATTGAGCTTTCTTTTGTTTTGTTCGGGCCATGTTTTGCCACGCCCTTTGGATCTTGAGTGGTTTCTGATTAAAATAAAATGCATTTTTCCAATTTGTTAAATTTTGAGCCCTGTTGCAAAACCTACTTTGTGTTTGGTAACCATTAGTTACCCTTCTTTTGCTCTTTTTTTTTTATAAGCATAAAATTCAAATATCCAACGTGAGAGTATGGGAATGAAAGGCAAAAACCAGAAACGATAGAAACGACAAAAAACGCGCGCAGGAAAAGTACAAAAAATTAGCAATAAACGTGCGCGCACGCGATGTCTGCCCTGAGGTTGGGCGGTAAGCCCCCCCAACCCCCTTTCCCCAACCACCTTACTCCCGCAGGCAACAGCAACAACTGGCCAACTCTCCCGCCGCCCACACTCTGCTGCTGTTGGCCACTGTCTCGCTCCAGAAACTAGGCAGCCCTCAGGGGGTGCTGCTAAAAGGGCTAAAATCAATAAAATGCTTGTTGCTCAACAGCAGCAGCAGCAACAGCAACAACAGCAACAAGAACTTGCAACAACAACAACAACTACTTGCAGCAACAACCACACAATGGCAATGACGACAGCAAACACCAAAGGCACTGTGGACGCCTTTCAATGTACAATTATATTGGCTGTGCCACACCCCAGACCAACTGCTACCCCTACCTACCCTTTCCCTATTGCTGCCCTAACCCATTCCGCACTGCCCCTTGGCACACTGTGCAACATAAATAGTTGCGTTTTTTTAAACTTTATGTGGTGCTGTGCCAGCGAAAATGTTTGAAATTCCTTGGCTAAAGTTTTGCAGCCGCCCCGCAGCCGCACTCGTGCCCCCTGTTATTGGCATAAATGGCTGGCGGAATGCTTGAGGCACATTCCTTGTTGCATGATCGAGATGCCAGCGAGTTATTATGACAAACTTTGTTAATTGGAAAATATGCGCAACCGAAATGTTTTCTTTTCTTCTCGATTAAGGCTAAAGTTTGACTTCACTGTCGAGGGGGCGTGGCTGTGTGTCTCTATGGGATTATTAGTTGACAGTTGGAATTTTGGAAACTTAATTCCAATCAAAATTGACTGCTGCTAGGGGCATCAATCAATCAATCAAAAGCTGACAAATCACAAACTTATAGCTTGTGCATGTTTTGACCTGATTGTGTAGCTCCTGCTCCTGCTCCTGGCCCTGCTGCTTCCTCGCCCTCTGCTCAGGCCCTGCTTCTTCTTCTTCTTTGACTTTTGTACATATGTGACCTTATATTAGCCATAAAAGCGCCATAAATTGAGACTACAATCTATGTGTGTGGCGCACTTCTTCGCAACTGCAAAATGCCTTGTGAAATGCAATTTCTGCTTTCAATTTCTGCCATTGATCAGCTGCCTCCTGCCCTGCCCTGCCCCTCGGCCCTCGCTCCATTTAAACTGACTTGCCTTTGGCCCTTCGAGTGTGGCCCATCAATATGGCTGTGCACCAGTGTGACCGAAGCCAATTGTGCAGCCAACAGCTGCTGACATGTCGCACGGCAGCAGACGCTAAAGTTCCTATTCCGTCCCAACCCCATCCAATCCCATCCCATCCTATCCCACCCACTACACTTCCCGTTAGTCGCCTGTCGCATTCATTTTCCATTTGCCAACAACACATGACGACATTTTGTTGTTTGCACAATGTTTAGTTGCCTGTCTGTGTGTGTCTGTGTGTGGGCGTGGCCACTGCCCTCTCTCCCGCCTTTTATGGCGAGGCGCTACGTTTTTAGCGGTTCGTCGCGTTGGCTATTTGACTTGCATTAACCCCCGTTTGACCCACTCTTATTTTGCAAGTACGGGCGATTATGCACACGCAACGGTGTCGTTAACTTAACCGTTGTTGTTGTTGTTGTTAGAGATATGCCCGTTTGCGGGGAAGTTGCGTTTGACCCAAGCCTAATAAAACAGCAGCTTAATTGGAGTCACAAATAAAGCAAGAACGTGAGTTGGGAGGGGAGTGAGGGGAGTGGTAATAGGCACGCTTTGAGTGTAATTAAACTTATGCTGCAATGTTTTTGGACTGATTTATGATTTAAGGGGTATCTTAAGGTCAGGCACGTTGCCTTGTACATTCGCAATTGATACGTCATGTTAAAGAGAAAACAAAGAGAGGGAGAGAGAAAGAGAGGGAGCTTGGTTTAATCTGCTCTGAATTGAATATACCGCTTGTAGGGTAACTGCTAGTCGGTTAATAAGTGAAGGCATCAAGATTGTTGGTTAAGCTCTAGAGTAGTCTAAAAGAGGCAGCCTCCTTTTTGTACCGCTTACAGAGCATCTTGCAGTCGTGTATGCTGCTTATTTTAAAGGACCTGTGCAAAACTTACAAGTTGTTGTAAGGTGTCAACAGTTGCTGCTTGAAATGTCTTCAAATGCATACAAAATGCTTGTGGGCTGCCTTTTGCAGCTTACAGGGTAACTGTTAGTCGTGTCTGCCGGCGCCGGAGTAGTCTTAATTGTTATGGCTGTCGTGCTGAGAGACATTGACTGCCGCCCCGTGGAGCGCCTGTTGTTGTCACGGCTGTTGACGCTGCCCGTTGCCAATGACAACCAACACTCGCATGACAAACACTACACACACACACACACCACTACACACACTCACACACTACACACACACACGCTATGGGTACAAAGTATGCTTTCAATCAGGCACTGAATTGAAAATCCATTAACGAGTACACAGCGAAGGCAGCTGGTCGCAGACTGCGGGCGCTTCCCTACAAGGGTAAGGGGGGCTGCGGGGTGTCTGCTTTCAAGTCATGGCTTCGTTCGTTATATTTTCTGCAACAATAAAACAAATTTGCTGCTGCAGCAGCAGCTTGCAACACTGCAGCAACAACAACAACAGCAGCAGCAAGTCGCATGCAAAACAAATAGTCGCAGGACGAAGGACATAAGCTGCATGCCACACACGTAAATATTACAAGTGCGAGTGCATTTTAAAGTGAATCAAGAAGTAGAAATAAAAAGCGCAAAATCAAATATTACAAAAATAGAAGGTGCCCCAGTCCCAAATATTCGTACTGCGATAGTTTTTCGAAGCCAAATTCGGAACGTTAACGAAATCAACGTCAATATCTGTGCAAAAATAATAAAAAAGAGAAAAGTAAAAAAAAACCGGAAGCACGAATATCGAAAGAGTTGAGCCCCCCATTCACGATGCTAACCTGCGTGTGTCGGCCCGTGTCGGGCAATCTGCCCAAAATGCCCCCCGCCTCCATGATGCCCGCCTCCAGAGCCTCGCTCAGCAGCAGCGCCACAGGCAGTGGCAGTGGCAGTGGCAGTTCCTCCGGCTTCCACAGTCCCACACAAGTTGTGACATCCGAACCGAAGCTGAACGTAAGTAAAGTGCAGCCTAACAAATGCGCTGAGAGAAATTAATGCAGCTGCAAATAATTGAGTTTGTCTTTGGTTATATGTTTATCTTAATTGTCTATAATATTTAATTTTTATTAAATTTTATATACAAAATTTCCATGCACATAAATATTTATTTAGCTATTCATCTTAAAAGTGCATAAAAATAGATTTGAATCTTATGATTTTGTTAATTGATTTAAGTAAAAATTTTAATTTTAAATAAGAAATAGAAATTATAAATAAGTCAACACAAAAGTTTTGGAACTAGTTCAAAATAAATCCGAGCTATATAGCAGCTATCACGTATAGAAATTGTCCCAAGGTATACTAGGGATACATAGTTAAGAAAAGCTAAGCACCGGTTAATATGCTAAAATGAAATATTCACTGGAATTGGAACCAGTTCAAAAGTACTTCAGAGTCATTTCACTTAAACCAGGCATAAACTAATTTAAAGCTTATGGGAAAAGACATCAAGAAACACCCAACGTTAGTTTTTAGATCGTGAACTGGTTCAAAGGCAACTATAAAATGAGCTAAGAATCGCAATTTGAATCACATTCTTAGCACCCTTTTTGGCCCAGTGTACGATAAGCTAGCTGCAAATCATCGGCTGAAAGCGTCGAGGGGCAGGGAATCAACTTTAATCTATTTATGCGAACGTCTCTTGTTATTCTCAGTTTTTGTTGTGTTTTTTTCTCTTTTGGTTTTTCCGCTAGAGCCTAAATAAAAAGGTAGCAAATTAGCTTTCATTTTTCACACACATAAACATAACTTGATTTATGGTATCGGACGGGGCCAACGGGCCGTGACCGTGACCAAGACTGCGACCAGGACTGGATGTTGACAACTTGACACGGCTCGACTTGGCGCTGACTTCAGTTGAGTTGAAAGTAACGATTGCAGATAACGTTTATAAATTGTGGAAATTTCATTTTCACTTTGACGCCATTGACGCTCTCGGTAGAGGGCCGGGGCATTGGCGACAACGCCAATGACACCTCTGGAGCAGCTTATCCGCAGCTGAATCTCTAACGATCTGTACACACGGACGCACACACAAACACACAGTGTAAAGAGACCCACTTATGTCTATGAGCAGATACATATACATATAGCACTATAATCCACTAATCCCACCCACTTACACATCGTTCATCCATGCAGGTGCCCAGCAGGCTGACGTCAGCCGAACTGAGGGCGATGGCACTGCGACAGCAGCAGCAAATCGACAGCCAGCACCAGCTGCTGGCCACAAAGGAGCAACGGTTGCGCTTCCTCAAATCGCAGGAGGTGCGCAGCGCGGTGGCCAGCGCTGAGGGCGAGCGACTGCGTCGGCTGCGGGAGCGCGTCGAGGCGCAGGAGTCCAAGCTGCGTCGCTTGCGCGCCCTGCGGGGTCAAGTGGATCTGCAGAAGACCTACAATGTAACACTGAGTGAGTATATGGCTGAGGGGTGCGCGGGGGGGGCTTACAAGTGCAGGGCAGCGACAAAGTGAAGATGGGTCCAATTGAGTTAAGCACCGCATGCACACGCGCGCTTAGTGGGCGTGGCGCCCGAGCCCGAGTAGGGACTGCGGGATTAACATGTGTTAAAATCGTGTTGAGTGCTGCTACCTCAGCAGGCGTGCGAGTGTGTGAGTGTGTGTGTGTGTGTGAGGGGGTGTGTGTGTGACTTTAATTTATGTATGTGTGGCACTTTGTTGTCCTTTATGATTGCCTGTGGGCGGCTCTTGAGCTGGCCTGCCAAAGATGTTATCCTTGTTGATGGCCTTCTTATACCCTATACCCATTCAAAACGCATTAGAAGGGTATATATGAATTGTGTAACCGAATGGAAAAGGCAGCAGACATGGTTGTGGAAAAAGCCAAATATAAACCAATCGATATGATCAGATTTGTGGCAACTCTTCCCGCATTTCGATAAATATCGGACTTTTACTCAGCTTTGCTTTTAGCGTATCTTATAGATTACGAATGTAGAAATCTGTTTGTGCACGCAGATCAAATTAAGTCCAGGTTTACATAAGAGATACCTGGCTTACCCAAATAATACGTTTTAATTAATGTGGATCTTAGAGATCTTAACGGCAGGGAGGAGATAATTCCCCATAAAAGTATTACGACGTATATTGTATTTCAATAACTCTCAGAGATCCTAACAGCTGGTTAGAGGGTATCTTCTAGTCAAGCACTCCAGCCTGAAACACTTTAAGGTGTTGTTGGCATTGACTGTGCCGACATTGGCGATTTATGCCAGGACACACACATACACAGACACACCCGCTGACTAGGATGTTATGTTAATGAGGTTTCAGCAGCGCGTTGTTGGGCGATAATTAGCTCAGACAGCATCCGGCCGATGCGCAGGCATCCATTTAGGAGAGCCCATCGGCATGTGTGACCAGGCGCTGCGAATGTTTTAAGGTGTGAATTAACAGAAATATGCAAACGATTAAAATGTATTTATGTATATAAAAGGGACAATTTGACAAGTTGGGTGACTGAAAGGGAAGGGAATGTGAAGCGGATTGAGTAGCTTAAGCAGCTTTCGTGAGCGCGAACCCTCGAGAACCTGTGTCCAGCCGTCTTCAATTAGCCTCAAAGTGCGCCAACATCATTAAGTACGGCGGGTTGGCAGGGTCACAGGCGAGGCAGGGGGGTCAAATCCTTGAGTCGTGGCCAACTAATCCGTTTAACGTTTGTGCTTAGGCAATGACTTGGACTCGATTCGAGCGCTCTTCAGCGAAAAGGAGAAGGAGCTCAGCTTGGCAGTGGCAAAGGTGGAGGCCCTGACACGCCAATTGGAGGAGCTGCGACGCGACCGACGATGTCCTGTCAATTTGCTGGCCGCAACGGGCCAGGGCGCGGCACAGGCGCTGCCGCCCCAAGCCTCGCGGGAGCTCGAGAAGCTGCGACGTGAATTAATGGTAAGTCGGGCATTTGGGAGGTGCGCACCGGACGCTAATTAAGCCTTGCTGCTCTTTAACTTGTCATTCTAGTATCGCAATCAGCTGTCCTTGCAGCAGGATGCACGGCTGCACATGCAACGCGAGGCGCTGCAGCAGCGGCAGGCGGAGCTGCGCTCGGTGGATCAGCGTATCTACGAATTACAGACGCGCCTGCAGCGCAAAAAGCAGGCCAATACGCACCACCAGCAACAACAGCAGCAGCAGCAACAACAGCAACAGCAACAACAGCAGCAGCAGCAGCAACAACAACAGCAAAAACAGAAAATACAACAGCAACAACAACATCATCAACAACAACAGCAGCAGCAGCAACAGCAATCAGCTGCACAGCAGCAACAGTTGCACGTGCAATCCGCACAGTTGCTGGCAGCAACAGCTGCTGCCGCCGCCGCCGCCCAACAGCAGCAACAACAACAACAGCAACAGCAACAACAGCAACGCCAGCCCGCGGCGCCCGCCTCCAAGCATGGAGGTGTGGCCGCCTTGAAGCAGCAACTGCTGCAGAAACAGGTAAATCAGCTGGCAGCAGCGGCCGCAGCAGCAGCCGCGGGTCGCGCCGCCGAGCGTGCCATTGCGCGCGGCAGCGTCAATGTGGCCGCCGTGGAGCCCTTCATACACACGCCCCAGAAGTCGACAATAACGTCGACTGCCAGCTACCTGAGCGCGGGCAACATGCTGAAGCATGCGGCGGCAACGGCCAACACAAATCAGCAGAATCAGTTGATCCAGGATCTGAGCCACAGCCATGTGAAGCTGACCCCGGGCCAAAGCTTCTACCCGAGCAGCAACGTCGCGGCGCCGGCGCCCGCAAACGCCAGCAGCAGCAGCGAGAGCGACGAGTCGAAGCTAGCCAAGAAGCTGCTCACAGCGGCGGCGGCAGCTGGGCCTGTGGGCAAGTCCAAGACGGAGACAGATCTGCGCAAGCAGGCGCAAACAGAAGCCATGGACAGCACTACGCACATCTATGCAGAGGTAGGGCCCAAGAAGCGGGATAGAGAGGCGGCGGCTGCAGCAGCAGCAGCGGCAGCAGCAGCGGCGGCCGCAGCGGCAGAGGCCACAGCAGCAGCAGGCACAACAGCAACAACCACGTCGCCCGCTGCCTCCATCAATGCCAGCAAAATACCCAAGAGCATCTCGAGCAGCAGCTCGGCCTCGGCGCTGATCAACAAGCTCAACCAGCAGGCGAGCGCCGTCAAGGAGTCGCCGGAGCCGGCCAAAAAGAACGAGATATCGGTGACCAGCGAGACGTTGTCGGAGCGCAATACGCAGCAGCAGCTCACCGTGCACAGCATGCCGCTGGGCGCAGTCAGCAAATCCGTGGCCATTGCCGTATCCAATGCCAACGCCTCCTGCAGCAGCGGCAGCAGCAGCACGAACACCACCAAACCTCTGCAGGTGCAGGTGGGCAATTTGGTGGTGCCGCCGCGCAAGCCCATCAGCAGCGTTGCGCCCACCTCGATGAGCAGCAGCAGCGGCGGCGGCAGCGGGAGCGGAGGAGGCAGCGCCATACCCAAAATGATAAACTACAGTCCCAAGGTGAATCGCGTGGCGCCCAATGTGGTCACGCCCACGGCTGATCCGCGACCCGCACTGCCGCCCAAGCCTAGCAAAATGTCTCCGACAGAGCAGCCCAGCGAGAACAGTGGCTCAGCTGCAGCTGCAGCAACTGGCGCCACGCCCAGCACAGCTGGCAAGGCGCAGCCAGCAGCTCCGACACAGGCCAGCTTTGGGCTGCAGTCGCTCAACATCAACGACAACTTGCCCATCAAGGCCAAGCCGCTGACCATACGCAAGCAGCCCATCTTCGAGCAGCCACCGCGACTCAAGAGCACGCCCGTTGTAGGAGGCGCCTCCAAGCCCGGACCGCAGCAGCTGCCGCGCAAGCCGGAGGCGCAGGCACAGACGCAAACCAAGGAAGCCCAACGTCCTATGCAGCAGGAGGCAAATAGAAGCTCAGCCGATTCGCCACAGCACTCGCCCAACAGCAACTCGCAGAGCAGCTCCAGCGTGGATGAGCCGGATCGGATGGGCAGCCAGGCGGAGACCAGCAGTGGCAGCAGCCTCAAGGAGCGCGCCGCCAGCAAACCCAAGCTGGGGCGACGCGTCAGCTTTGATCCGCTTGCGCTGCTGCTGGACGCCAGCCTGGAGGGCGAACTGGAGCTGGTCAAGAAGACGGCCATGCAGGTGGCCAATCCCAGCGCGGCCAACGATGAGGGCATCACAGCGCTCCACAATGCCATCTGCGCGGGACACTTTGACATAGTCAAGTGAGTCCCAGAAATACTGCTCCGTGTCTCAAGTATATATTTCTTTGATCCCTGCAGATTCCTCGTGCAGTTTGGCTGCGATGTGAATGCCCAGGACTCGGATGGCTGGACGCCGCTTCACTGCGCCGCCAGCTGCAACAACTTAAACATGGTCAAGTTTCTCGTCGAGAGCGGCGCCTGTCTTTTTGCGTCCACGCTGTCCGATCACGAGACGCCCGCGGAGAAGTGCGAGGAGGACGAGGAGGGATTTGACGGCTGCTCCGAGTATCTGTACAGTAAGTAAAGTCTGCTAATTTGGGAATGGAATTTCTTTTTTTTTGCTCAAATTACTTTAATTAAGTAATTTTTCAATGTCGAGCATTTTAAGTTAATTTTAAGCTAGCTTATTCTTGCTTTAAGTATTTTTTGTATTCAATCTTAGCGCAGTATATTATACCGATTCCATATTATATCATATATGTACGATCAGTTGATCAATTATAATACCCGAGTCAATATACATATGTGCCAATCTGACTGATCGGTCCAGTATATTTTTTATTTTCGTTTTTTCAAGATATCGTAACCAACTTTTTGAGCTATATATATAAAAAGCCTTCGATTGACTGTACATTAATCCTTAATTTAAGAAGATTTCTTAGGGGTTAGGAATGTATAAGAATTCCCTCCCGTAGAGCTTGATCTATCAATTCGTATATAAGTATTTCTCTCACTCTCTCTCTTCCTCTGCCTTCCACTTTCCCTGCAGGCATTCAGGAGAAACTGGGCATCCTGCACAACGGCGACGTCTATGCCGTTTTCAGCTATGAGGCGCAGAACAGCGACGAGCTGAGCTTCCACGTGAACGAGCCGCTGATCGTGCTCCGGAAGGGCGACGATACCGAGAACGAGTGGTGGTGGGCGCGCAACGCAGCCGGCGAGGAGGGCTACGTGCCACGCAATCTGCTTGGAGTAAGCAATTCTTAATTCTCTCCCCCTGTGACTGCATCTAATAAGGACATCTCTCTGCCTCTCGCTCTCTCCCGCAGCTATATCCACGCGTGCCGCCGCAGTCGCCGCATTTCAGCGATTAGCAGTTAATACGCTTCACCATACTCAAGCGCAAGGCTGGCCGACTTGTGCAGAAGCGCTATATATCCAAGTACATCTGAGCAGCAGATTCCGAGCACGTCCCCTACGCCTAATCCCGCGGTGCCAAACTGGATGGATGGATGAATGGATGGGAAGGGGGAAGGGGATGGCGCGTCTTAGTTATGAGCTGGCATTATTTATGACAGCCTCGTGTTATTTCTTTCCTGTTTACTTTTTTGTTTGTTTGAAAAAGCCACAAGAAGGAAACCAGACGCAATCGTGTGTGTGACACACATACACACACAAACACACACAAGTCATGTGTGTGTGTTGCAAGTGTGCAAACGTGTGTCCATCATCGGAATGTGCAGCATTTGGCACAGCGCCTGCGGCAACAGCTATTTATTATAAAAGAGGAGCAGCCAGGACAGGCCACAATTAGGCAACAGCCTGGTCCTGGTCCTGGTCGTGGTCGTGGTCCTGGTCGTGGTCCTGCTTTTGGTCGTCCTGCACACGTACAATAAATTGGATTTCAGTTAAGCCTGCCCCCTGCTTAGATTAAGGCCTAGACTAATAACTTAAGTAAAACATGTGCACCACACAATCCCCCTGCCACATATAAGCCCCCAGCCGCCCAACAACTCGCCACAAATTGCTTTCAACTTTTTGTGCATAAAACTAAAATTTGAAATTCAAATTTAAGATGCAAATTGAAAATGAAAATTGAAAATTTCAATAGACTTTGTGCACTTTGTGGCTGGAAAACGAGTTTGTTAATTGCCAGTAACGAGTTTTATTGCTAAATATTCGAAATCTAAGCAAGACGAAAAACATTAAATTATTAATTTACACACATTTTAGACATTACAAAAATAACAACAAGAAATCGTGATTTTTGTGTTGTATAAAGCGAAAGTGCAAAAAGCTAAACGAAACATAATTTAAATATCGTTAATATCGTCTATTGTACAGTACTTACTACCTATGACTAAAACAAAAGCAGCTTCGTTATCAAATTACAATTCCTAATAAATACATTCATAATTAGTTTATATATAATTATATATATTAATATACATATGTATCTATATGTAATTGCCTGATGCCTACCACCTATTCCTAGCATTCACAAAAATACAAAAAATACAAAAACAAACACACAACAAATTACATTTTAAATGCAATAATAATAAATAGAGTGTCCTTAGTGGAATATGCCTAACTTTTTATCTTTCTGGCATGTTTGGAATTTCAGAAATGTTGGCAAACCTTAGAAAATCGCTATCCTTACATGCCTATTGAAGAATGTGGTTATTCATCTAATTTAAAGCCAGTAAAAGTTTTTAACAAATATCAATTTTCAAACAATTGGATTAAATACGGCCTGTTTTTATTTAAACGTTCATAAAACTTTGCCAAAAATTAGTGGGTTCGAAATCAAAATGTTGTTTTCAATCCATTCTATACAACTTCATGATTTCAGAATGCCTAATTTCACTAAGTTCGGACATTACTCTCCCGAACAAGCACTACAACATTTTAAAACCTATGATTGATAGGCATATATCCGGTGAACTTAAATTAACCAAATACTTGTAAAATGTGTAAGAATACAATCGAGGAATACGTACGCTCATGCTTTCAGCCGTCTCCCGCAATGGTCCTTTCCCCTTGATGGTTCCTATTTGACAACAAAATTCCTGCTTATACAACAGATGTTTCCCAGGTAAATTTTAAGTTCCAAATCTCTGCGAAATTCCCACAGAAATAGGAGGAAACCAGCACCCCATTAAAATGAGCTACGTCAGCTGTTAACAGCCGTCTGTAAAGTCGATCTAACGTTCATGTTAGCCAACAGCAGCCTAACAGTTTGCCCTTTGCGCATATGCAATGAAATTTATCATCAGCTGTTTTTTTCCACCTGTTGACCATTTCTGTTCGCCTGGTACTTCTGCAAAATTTTTGTTCAGAGCTCGACAGCCAGACGCCGATTTCTAGCTATTTCTGTACGCCTGTTATTTCAGCTGAATTTTGATTTTTTAAAGGCAAATCGATGTTTCGAATACGTACGAGTCTAATGGTATATTATTTTTTAAATCGGAACGTATTTAACCGAGATATTTAAAATATAGTATTTTCAGGAAACCTAAAATTATATATCTCTGGTTAATCGGATCTTCGAATATTGCACATATTTATATGACCCAAACATGTTTGCATGCAGATCGAAAGAGTTGCACCGAGTTTAAGTAATCTGCCCGAATAAGAGCTATTTTTTATTAACATTCCGCAATCTCCTCCGCGTTCGGACTCCTCCAATTCGACGCCTCTTTAGAAGGAAGGCGCCTAGCCAGTCGATTTGGATGGTCTGTTTGTGCAGTCTGCAGTCTGTTTGTGTATGACGTCCCCGACTTTGGGCACTCCAGGTCTTTTTCCAAGTCGGAAGTAAAAAAAAAAATTCTTTTATTTTTTTTTATTTTTTTCTATTTTCCAAATCATCATCATTTTATAATAAATAAATCGTTGAATCTGGTCCTAAAAACACCGAAACACCAGTTATACTGCGTACTTTCGGGCAGCAAGCAAATGTTTTACCTGTTTTTGGTATGCCAGTCGATTACAGAGATCAGTACGAGTTCAAAAAGGTATAACTTTCCAAAATCGGACTATTTTTAGCCGAATTATCGCAAAAAAAACGAAAAATCTTCAAAATTGTAACGCCATTTTTTCGCGTTTTTCAAATGGCAGTATCTCGGCCAAATAAGCCCCGCACAGCCATTTTCAGCCAACATCAAAATTGGGCCATTTCTTAGAATTCAGATTTGGTGTCAATCGATAGTCGGGATTCGTACGAGAAAAAAGAAAATTCGAAATCGGACACGAGATATTTCAATTTTAATTTTAATTTCAAAAGCAAGTCAAAACGTATTCTGCAGACAGCACGAAAGTATGCAGTACCACTAAAATTCTGCTAAAAACCGATACAAACGGCTATAATGGCTATTTCTTGGCCAAAAAAAGCCCGATATCAGGCAGATTGTGCACAAATGTTTTTTTGGAAATGGCGATATCTCGACTAAATAAAGCCCGATTTTGGAGCGATATATACATAGTATATATATAATACCTACTATAATAATACAAGTTGTAATACTGTTGTTAAACTGTAAAAAATAAATTAAGACTATGTTTTTACTATTTTTTAAGTGCGGAATATACAATAAGCAAGTTCGAAATTTGACTGAAACTTGACAAAAACAGAAAGGCCGGAGAAAAAAGATCGTTTTTGAAATCAAAAGATTATCATTGTAATTTGTAGAATGTCACAAGCCCAAAACGATATATCTACACCCGATATTTAATTTAATTTAAAGTGTCGTGTTTTCTTTTGATATACAAACGTCGGCTATCTATGCAAACAGGAATTTAAAAAAATATAGCTTTTTGTGGGCTATATCTTCTATATCTTATCAACAAAATCCAACACAGTATAGAAATAATTATGCTTGTACATTTAAAAGTTATATATTCATGATACTGTTCGTGCCTTTCTCTAAAAAGAAAACACTTGCACATTTCTAGATACGAGTCCCGTGTTCGTGGATTATTATTCGACGTATATTAATCGACGTTTATTTATTTTTATTGACCGGGAGTAACAGTTCTATACTTAATCACAGGCTATCAAGCTCTGTATTCACTCGTGCCTAACCCAAGTTCGAATACATAAATAATATGCCAGGCTTAGGCAAAAACAAAATATATATGTATGCGTGCTTCGAAAGCTCATTTGATTATTAAGTAACTCGATTTAGATCAAGTCATTATGACTAGGCAAACAAATTGAACAGAGATGTGCACAGCTATAGAATAGCCTTTTTCCCCGTTTTCGAATGGTTTCTTCTTTGAAATTTGTAGAATATAGAGATGGCATAAAAATATCTTTATATTTTTTCTATTCAAAAAGAAGTGTAAGAAATATTTTAAAATATTATTAATAATTTAATACCTTTTAACTTTTTGCAAATATTTAAAATATAGCCAATGTGTAAGAGAAGAGAGCTTGTGTTTGATTAATGCGCATTTAGATTCGCTCGCGTCGAGTTGAAATTCATTTGCTAGATTCGATGCATTTTATTGAAAGTTGAACTGATTTGCAGTGGCAGAGAAAAATGAATCGATTGAAATGGATCGATTGGCTATTACAATATAAGCTGAGTATGCCCGACTACTCAGCCAGAAAGAGGCGACGGCTGTCAACTTGCAATGATAGACAATATGATTGATTGATCATTTTAATGAATAACCACAATACAATAATAAATAATTATATATCCAGATTTCAACACATGTACTTAATACAAAATTAGATATTCCCCTTGGACCTTATCAGCGGCCGTAGGGTATATCAAGTAAATGAACTAGTGAGAATGCTCTAGTCGGCAGTGCCCAACTAGAAGATACTCTCTTGGCCCGATCATTTACTCCCTCTTCATAGCAGACATTCCTGTGCCTGGAGAAGGTACTACTGCCACCCTTAGTGGTAAATCATTGCTTGCCTTATACGCAGATGACATCTGATTTTTTTACTCGGCGCCTTGCGAGTACGAGGTAGCCGACGGGTTGCAAGAGTACCTTCACTTGCTTGACAGCTGGGCTCACAGATATAGCATTCAATTGAATCCGGCTAAGTGCAGAAATGTCTGCTTCACTTTACGCAGGGGTGAGGTGCCACAAGTGTGGCTTAACGACTGCGCGTTATCCTGGAAAAGGGACCAACTTTTAGGTCACACATCCAGGAAACAGCCTCTAAAAGTAGGTACAAGATGTGTCGCCTAAACTGGACGTTATACAAGTGATCCGAAACTCCACCCGCTTTGTAAGATGGCTACATATAACGCGGTCATCGTGGCTGCTAGGTCGAACCGAGAACATGTTCAAACATTCCAGAACAAGCCCTTCGGCTAATAATTGCCAGTAATTGGTACGTGCGCGGTTCGACGCCTCACCGTGATTTGAAATTGGAAACTGTTGAGCTGCAAATCAAGCGATCGGCTGAAGTCACACATGACTCAGACTGGCCAAACCTTTCTCTGTAGTTCGCGCCATTACCCGGTTGAAGAGACAACAACATCTTACAGGTAGTAAAAACTAGAATATCCCTTCTATTACTTTAACTTTGTCCATTTGACACGGCGTGGCTTCTATATTAACCCTGACTGTCCTTTTATAGCCGATATTGATTGCCGATTCTTGACAAAACTAATAAATCATAAAAAAAAACATTATACATACAATACATAAACATAAAATGCAAGCACACACTTGTTCACACAGCGGCTATGCTTCTTCTTTACTTAACCTCAATTGTTGGAAGTTTGTTCTTAAAATTCGTTTAAAGTAAATACCATATTAATAGGTTAGACATTTATATTTTCTTTTTCAATTTTGTGAAGCGAAATGACGGAGATATACGTTTTTTGAGTTATGCTTTAAGGTTCACATATCATAATCGATATATAAACCATCTGATATACGAGAATATATATTTCCAGCTCTTATCTATCCGATGGTGGACACACGGTCATGGCCCAGATCTGCATCTCCAGATGCCTCTGTCTGACTATCTCATACATTTGCACAGAACTAATATACCCTTTCCAATCATTTTCAGTGGGCTTAGGGTATAAAAACATGCTCCCTCCCTAAATTTAACGTACATCATATTGTTATATGTGGGACACGATGAAGGCAGCGTCTCAGTCATATGTGAATTGCGGCGTGGAACGGTCGTCCGATAGTCGGGAAGAGTTCATAGTGGCCGCTGCGCATTAATTAGGAATACGAAAAATAAATAAATTAAACTGAACGAAGTCAAGAAGTGTGCCATGTACTATAGATATGTGTCTATACAGCAATCTTTCATTTGTTGCATGTGATCAATAATTCGCCAATTAATTGTGACACTTAAGAAAAAAAAGTTTAGAAAATAATATATATACATTAATTGGCATTTCCGCAATGAAGCTGCAGGCGTTGAGTCTGATTCTACTGTGCTCTGCGATGGTCGCGCTGCCCCAAGTTAGGCCAGCCAAAATTTTAGCTGTGTATGCGTTTCCAGGTAAGCGAGCTTCACTGTACTGCAGCTGCTCCATTAAGACTGACTCAAATGCAGGCAAGAGTCACTTTATGATGCACACGGCGCTGATAAGAGAGCTCATAGAAAGCGGACACCAAGTCACGATGATTGCGGCCTTTTCGCTGGCCTCCCAGCAGCTGGGCAGCAACTACACGGAGCTGCTGATCGAGCCCGTCTACGATTTCTGGCATGATGGTGAGCAGCTGCCGCCGCCTTATCACAAAGGGGTCTAACTTTTCTTTGGCACTTGCCACAGTGAAGCTGAACTTTGGGGTGCAGCATCTGTTTGATTTGACACGCATGAAGAACTATGACTTCCTGAAAATGCTGGAGATAATTGGCTTGAAGACCACGGAGCATGCCCTGCGTCAGCCCCATGTGCAGGCCTTGATACATGCCAGCCAGACGGAGGGCGTGTTCGATCTGCTGCTCGCCGAGCAGTTCTATCAGGAGGCCTTCCTGGCGCTGGCCCACAAGTATAAAATACCCATTGTCACCACCAGCACTCTGGGCTATGAGAATCACATGAGCCAAATGATGGGCCTGATCACACCCTGGTCCTTTGTGCCGCATGGATTTATGCCCTTCACCGATCGCATGTCCTTCATGGAGCGTGTGCGCAACACCTACGTTTCGCTCTACGAGGATTTAGATCGACTGTTCAACTACTTCCCCAAAATGGATGCCATCACAGAGCAATACTTCGGGTCAGTCTTAGGTGAGTGCCGTCGGTTGCTGTATAGAGAATCCCCTGCTATTTCTTTTGCCCGCAGCTGAGGTGCCCAAGGTCAGGCACATGGAGACGCAAATCTCGGTGATGCTGCTCAACAGTCACGCACCGCTGACAACAGCACGTCCCACTGTGGACGCCATGGTGCCAGTTGGCGGCATGCACATCTATCCGCCCAAGCCGCTGCCCACGGACATGCAGAGTTTTCTCGATGCGGCAACAGATGGCGCCATCTACTTTAGCCTGGGCAAGTGTGCCATCTCCGTTAGGGGTACTCCGCCTGTCCATACTAAGCCAAACCCTACTCTGTTCCCATTCTAGGCAGCAACGTGCAGAGCAAGGAGATGCCAGCCCATATGCTGCAGCTATTCCTCAAGGTCTTTGGCTCCATGAAGCAGCGCGTGCTGTGGAAGTTCGAGGACGAATCAATTGGTCAGCTGCCCCCCAATGTGATGATACGCAAGTGGCTGCCACAGGCTGACATATTGGCGCATCCGAATATCAAAGTGTTCATCACGCACGGCGGCCTCTTTGGCACGCAGGAGGGCGTACACTATGCCGTGCCCATGCTGGGCATACCCTTCTACTGTGACCAGGTGTGTTTCTTATATCTATTCAATTATATTGTGGTATATGTTACAGCTCTCACCACCCGCAGCATCTCAACATGAACAAGGCCGTGCTGGGCGGCTATGCCATAAGTCTGCACTTCCAGTCCATTACGGAGCAGCTGCTGCGCCACTCGCTGCTGCAGCTCATCCACAATGCCAGCTACGCGGAGAATGTGCAGCGCGTCTCCCGCATCTTTCGCGACCGCCCGTTGCCGCCGCGCCGGAGCGCCGTCTTCTGGATCGAGTATGTGATACGGCACAAGGGAGCACCACATATGCGTTCCGCGGGCCTCGACCTGAAGTGGTATCAGTTCTATCTGCTGGATGTGATTAGCTTTGTGGCAGCCGTTGGCTTGGCTCTGCTCCTGCTCCTGCTGTTGGCCTTACGCTTGCTGCGGGGCAGCGGCAAGAAACATAGCAAATCCAAAAGTCATTAAATCATCATCCATTCAATCTAGCTGTAATTATTGCCGTCAAATAAAAATAGTTGATATGCATCTGTCTCCATGTAATCTACAGAACAACGTATTCTGCCTCAGCTGATAACACGTGCGCGTCAATCAATGCTCAACATTTCCAGCACCTCTCCCATAATACCGCAGTCCGCACTTTTGAAGAACTGTCGACTCACCAGACAAGCAAAACGAAACCAAACAGGAAAGACCGGAACACGCCGAAGATTGAATACCCTTGACGACATTCATATAGCGTAGATGTAAAGGCCTTTGTAGTTATGTTACGAAACAGAAATCTTGTAGAACAGACAAATTTCTTACTGCGCAAACTCGTTTTTCAACCGGTCGTTCCTATTAAGCTATATGATATGGTATATATAGACTGTTTGTGTAGAAAGAGGCAGACGAACATGAACATCGAATTGAATCGCATCGGCTGTTGATACTGATAAATAATAAATACTTTATAGGGTAAAGGGCATATTTCTTGAATGAATTATAATGCCTTCTACAATATTTCCTTGCCTGATCAAGCAAATACATACATATATGCTTTATAGTGTCGAAACGTCTTACATATTTTGTGATAAAATTATAATACCCTCTATATTGGCATACATATTCCCTGAAGTGGGAGGCTAGGTAATACGCCCTGAGCACAGTACTTGGACACTCTATGCACATTTTTCTGTCTAAGCAAATACTTAAAAGATTTGATTATATAATTAAAGTGCACATATTCTATTTTTTTTTTTTTTTTTTTTTTTTAACATAATTATTATTTATTTTATTTAAAATCTGCCCCTTTTTTGGGCAATAATTAAATGTTTTCTTTGACCTATGGCAGTTATGTATTGCGTGTATCTATTCTATTGATAGACAGTTGGTTTAGCACAGTGCTCTGTATTTACTAAGAGTTACATAGCTCTAGCTCGAGTACTTGCAAAAAGATGCACTAAATAAATAAATTCCAGGCTTCGCTCATGGCATACCCAGCCAACAAAATCCATGGCTGCAGGGTATATGAAATGCAACAAAATAACATTACTTATTTCGCAATAGGCGCGTCGTCGATAAGTGGCCTCAGGTCTACAACATACGTTTTATATGAGAGCCGATGCCGGGTTAGCAACTCAGTCGTCTGTGAATCGCGGCGTGAGACGGTCGGCCGAAAATCGGGAAATACGCAAAGTGTCCAGTGTGAACTGAAAATGGTGTGTACAATAATTAAGCATCGTTATATTAAATTAAATTATTTGAATTAGGTGAAGAAGTTCGCCAGAGATCCAAAAAAGTGCTTAAAGTTAAATAATTGTGATTTCATGTGTTCATAAGAAGAATATTCCAGCCCTAAAAAATAAAAGAATGGCTCAACGAGTTTTTGATCATAATTTAGCAGATATGCAAAAAAAAACATATCCTCGTTTTATTTGTATGCTCAAACGATTATGCCGCGCTTCTCTCTCTCTCTCTCTATCTCTCTCTCTTATTATTCACAAACGTTTAAATCGCTTCTCTCTAATGGACAAACGTTTTAAGCGATAATAACATCATATCAACGTGTATCTAGCTCTACATCCCTAATAATGCCACTTAATGCCTCAAGTTGGAAAGCTACTAGACAAAATTATTTATTTTATTATAGTTGTAGATAATTGTCACAGGCACGTAGGTGATAGGGGAAAAGCTTCAAGCAGTTCGTAATCGTTTGACAGATAAGACAGCAATTTGTGAAATTTACAAACCTTTCGCAATAGGCAGCTATTCAAATAATTATCATAAAGATAAGATGACAGACAATTGAGATTATAATTTCCAGTGGCAAAGATCAAGAAATTCACCAGAACTCTTTTACGCCTATTAATTAACATGACCTACAGCAACCGAAGATCGCCTTAAAACTCTTGCTGCTGGGCCTTGTGGCGCTTCAGAACCTGGAGTTTGGCGCTGGATCCCGCATACTGGCTCCCTTCTTCTTTCCCGGCAAGAGTCACTTCATGATGACAAACGCCATTATCAGAGAGCTGGTGCAGCGCGGACACGAAGTGACCTTTGTCACGCCATTCTCATTGGCCAAGGAGAACTTGGGTTCGAATTATACGGAGATTCTCATTCCACAATACGACATCTGGGGCTCAGGTAAGTCCATTGAAGTAAACAGGTATTTAAACAGCTTTTAACTAATCTTAACTATCGCTTGCAGTTATGGGAATGACCAAAGCCAAGTCAGCGCTGGACATGAGAGATTTGGACACGGTGACATTCATCAGGGTAGCCTATGTCATGGGCTTGGGTAGCACGGACTTTGCGTTCGAGCAGAAGGAAGTGCTGAATTTGATCAATGCCAAGAACAAGGTGGGCAAATATGACTTGCTTCTGGCCGAGCAGTTCTTTAACGAGGGAGCCCTCTTCCTGGGTCATCTGTATGAAATACCAATTGTTACCATTTCAACCTTTGGCTTCTCCAACTACTTGACTTCCTTGACGGGAGTTATAAATCCCTGGTCATATGTAGCTCACGGCTGGAAGCCCTACACAGATCGCATGACTCTTTGGGAACGAATTGACAGCGTTTACGGGTCGCTTGTAGAGGAAACGATGCGCACCTTTTGGTACTATCCGGCACAAAATCAGATTTTGCAGAAACACTTCTCCAAGCAGTTCAAGGAGTTGCCAACCATTAAGCAACTGGAGCGCAACATCTCAGTTTTCCTTCTGAATAGCTATATGCCTTTGGAGCCGCCCAAGCCCGTTTCCTTCAATATGATTCCTGTGGGAGGACTTCATATTAAGTCACCGAAGCCACTGCCCACAAACATGCAGAAGTTTTTGGATGACGCTAAACATGGAGCCATCTATTTTAGTCTGGGTAACTTGTATCTGCCATTATCTTACCTTGACCATGGTTAACACATTTTCCGACAGGTTCTCAAGTGCGCAGTGCAGACTTTCCGCCTGAGAAGATCAAGATGTTCCTCGGTGTGTTTGGAAGCCTAAAGCAGCGCGTCCTGTGGAAGTTCGAGGACGACAAGTTACCCAATCTGCCGGCTAATGTGATGGTCCAGAAGTGGATGCCCCAAAATGATATACTCGCCCATCCCAATGTCAGGGTTTTCATTTCCCACTGTGGTCTTTTCGGCACTCAAGAGGCGGTGCATTACGGGGTTCCCGTGCTCGGCATGCCCGTCTATGCCGACCAGCACTTGAATATTAAGAAGGGCAAAGCCGCTGGTTATGCCCTTGAAGTCAACTATCTCACAGTTACTAAGGAGGAGCTGCAGTCTTCTCTTACAGCATTGCTGGAGAATCCCAAGTACGGGGTTAACATGAAGCGTGCCTCACGCATCTTCCGCGATCGACCCCTAAGTGCGATGGATACGGCCATGTTCTGGATCGATTATGTCATGGATCACCGTGGAGCACCGCATATGGTATCTGCGGGTCTGGACCTGGCCTGGTATCAATTTTATCTGCTGGACATCCTTGGCATTGCCTTGGCAATAGTTGTGTTGCCCATTTTGGGTCTGCTCTACGTTTGTCGCAATTTCAACTCTGCGAAGAAGCCTAAAACAAAGTCTAAGCAAAACTAACAAAGTCTTCATTTATGTTGATAACTTAAAATGAAAAGCAATATTGTGCTATTATTATGTTAATTAGTTTACATAAATTTTTAAAATGTTTCTATTAGATATTTACTATATTGTAGTTTTTAATTTGACCACCCTTCCTCTCTCTCTCGCTCCCCCCCTCTTTCTCTCACAATGCACTCTCCTTTTCCCCTTCTCTCATTTCGTCTCTAACAAAGCCATCTCTTTATTATAGCCCTTATATGCGATTTTCCGGGATTTATTGGGTATACCCCGGCCATGGCATAGTACGGACCGTTATACCTTTTTAAATTCGTAGGGATCCCTACTATCAACTGGCATTCAAACATTTTACAAATCGATGGGTTAGAAAAGGTGGTTGACCAAAAAACGATTCGTTTGTAAAGTCAACCTTTTTTGATGATTTTTTGGAATATCTCGGCCAAATAATGTCCGATTTGGGAATTTTATACCATTTTGGTCTCGTAATCAGTACTATCAATTGGCATCAGAAAGTGAAAATCTAAGTTTTGATTTTGGAATGATATACATACATAATAAACGTTCACCCCTTATGATGCTTCTTACCACACACCTCACGTTGAAAAGTTATTACACAAAATTAATAATAGTTATAGATATTTGTGATATGCACGTAGTCGATAAAGGAGAACTCGTACTGAACGGACCAAAATGCTTGTCACAGCCTTATATCTTGCCGATATAATAACATTATACGCACAGCCACAGCATTCAAAAGCGCAATCGCAATTCTATTTATAGAATACGAAAAAGGATGCAAATTATCGCTAGACTCTATTTATAGAATTCGAAAAAGGATGCAAATTATCGCTAGACTCTTGGCGAGTATTGAATTAATAGATTAATATAAGTAAAGTGATGACAGTCAGTTTGACTAGACAAGTTATAATTTATTTTTTTTTACATTTCTTGCCAAAAGTTTTTCTTGACTTCCAAAAGTTTGTTTACAATGTTTCTTGATCTGTTCTATCTGTTTTCCCTAATCAGTTCAGCTTCTGTCAGGGGATGTAATCTGAGTGGATGTAGTCTGTCGATTTTGTATTCGATAATGCAACTCATAATAAAAGCATATGAAAACTATAAAATGAAAGAGTAAAAGTACTATTGCATAATAATATGAAAAATCTTCTTCAAGCCGTTTTTCTTTACCTAATTTTGTCCTTATGGACTACACTTTCTCTTGTCAAAACAGTTGTCCCCAAATCAGCTTTAGTTTTATACCTTGAACACATTGAAAATGGGTAAAAAGGGTATAATGTTTTTGTGTCAATATATGTAACAGGCAGAATGAAACATACCTCCTTGATCAGCATCAATAGCCGAGTCAACCTAGCCATTTCCTTCTATCTGCCCGTCTGTCCGTATGTATGCCCTCGTCGATCTCAGAACCTATAAGAACGAGATACTTGAACTTTTAACGTAGGTCCTCCTAGTGCCCGCTCAGTATAAATTTGTTTCCGATAGCTATCGCCATCCCTTACCTCCATCCGATAGCTATAAATCAAATGTATAAATCGATTGAAACTACCCACTTATTTATGCCAAAATTTTAATGCAATTGTTTTTGAGAATATAGGAATATACTATAGAACAAGAAGATCTACTGTTGAAAATTTCATCAAGATCGGGGAGGAACACAGAAGTTATTAATGAAAACGTGTGCGTATATTGAACTACGCAGCTAGCGCAAATTGCAAGAAAATCTCTGTACATGTGCACACGTGCATTAATGCACGTCTTTATTGAGTTCTATAAACAGCATTGCAATTGCTTTTGTATTGCATTGTGTGCTGTGTGTATATGCTGGTATTTTAATTAGCTTTTTTTCGTTGAAAATGAATTGTTGTTATGGCAATCGAATGGAGGCATAGAGAGAACTTTTTTTTTAAATTTTATATTAATGATAAAGCAAACGAACACGTAGCGCGAGCTACCTTTTGGGTTGGAAGAGAAGGGTATCCTCTATTTGGGGACTCCCGACTTGAGCCTTCTACTTCTTTTAGTTCGTATAATCTGCAGCCTCTGATAATGGCGCGAGCTCCTCTTATGATTGCTATAAATCTATTTGCAGCCTTTGCCGCTTTGCGCCAAGTCATATAGTGTTCTTGGGCCCCGTCAAATTCTGGGAGAGCCTTTACAACGCCGAGAGTTTCGTAAGAAAGTACAGCAGGTTCCCCTACCGACACCTTCGTATTTGGTTTGTGAGCTCCAATTTCTATGCGCTGCAAAGTTAGTCGTCAATATCGCCCGTTAAGCTATCGGATCTACAGTCAACACTATTAATATAATATTAATATTAAATATTAATGTAAACAAACGCAAGAAATAAATTGTTTTGTTAGTTGCCGACACACAGGCAAAAGAAATTAATTTCAGCGGTAATAAAATTGGAATGTCTCAAATTTCGTTGCGCGTAGCGTAAATATTTTGGATATATTAATTCATTTTGATGGGATTCGCAATATAATAATGGTTAAGACTTTCACTTATATGACGTTAGCCAACACCTTCTAGGGGATCGACTGTGTCAGCTCAGAAGTTATCTCCAGTTTGTTCCTGGCGAATGGTTCACTTTATTAATAATCGTTTAAGCTGCACTGACTGAGTCAGTTTGAGATACTTCAAAGACTAAAACAGCAAATGTGTGACTATTACGAGGTAATTCTACTCTATACCGCAAAGCCGACTGCAGTCCAGCATAACGGAGTCCTCGGAGTCAGAGGCCAAAGGCAGCCTGGTCAGCAATCCTATATTTTATTATATTGCCTAGTTGCAATTTAGTTGCTTATCGATCAGTTATATCAACTTATACCATATTGGATAACATGGAATATTCTAAGCTTCCCTCATGGCATATACCCAGACAACGCAATCAATAACTGCAGGGTATATGAAGTGCATATTAAATCATACTATATTTCAAAAGGCGCGTCAGTGAAAGCTTGCCTCTGTCTACATATACATATGTATATTTTTTTATACGAGACCCGATGACGGGCTAGCGACTCAGTCGTCTGTGAATCGCGGATTGCAGCGGTCGGTCGAAAATCGGAAAAACGCGTAGTGCATAGTGTAAACTAAAAATGGTGTGTACATCAACAAAGCAACGCAAAATTAAATAAAATTATTTGAAATTTTAGAGTCAAAAAAGTGCACAAAGTTAAATAGTCGTAACTTCGTATAAAAATAATACTACCAAGCCAAAGAATAGAAGGCAAGGAGCTCAACAAGTTTTTGATCATAATTTAGCTGCAAATGCAAACGTTCCTTCGTATTTCTCGCACTCAAACCTCTTTCTCTCTTTACTTACATGCGTTTGCAAAACGTTTAAATGTCTTCTCTCTAATGGAAAAACTACATCTATATCCTAATAATGCCATTTAACACACATGTCACGTTAAAAAGCTTTAGACAAAATGATTTATACTTATAGATAATTCTCTTGGACAATCGGCTTTATTCAATTAATTATCAAGACTGAAATAGAGATTACATCAATTTAACTCGAACTCTTTTACGCCCATTAATAACTTATCCATGTAACCTACAGCAACCGAAAATTGCCTTAAAACTCCTGCTGCTGGGCCTTGTGGCGCTGCAGCATTTGGAGATTGGCGCTGGATACCGCATACTGGCTCCTATCTTCTTTCTCGGCGAGAGTCACTTCATGATGATAAACGCGATTATCAAAGAGCTGGTGCAGCGCGGACACGAGGTGACCTTCGTCACGCCGTTCTCATTGGCCAAGGAGAACTTGGGTTCGAATTATACGGAGGTCCTAATTCCACAATACAACATATGGAGCGCAGGCAAGTCTACTGGCGTAAACAGGAGCTTAAACAGCTTTTGTCTGTCACTTGCAGTTATGGATATGAACAAAGCCAAGGCAGCGGTGGACATGAGAGATTTGGACACGGTTACATTCCTCAGGATGGCCCATGTCATCGGTTTGGGTAGCACGAACTTTGCGTTCGAGCAGAAGGAAGTGCTGAATTTAATCGATGCCAAGGACAAATTGGGCAAATATGATTTGCTTCTGACGGAGCAGTTCTTTAATGAGGGCGCCCTCTTTCTGGGTTATCTGTATCAAATACCTATTGTTACCATAACATCCTTTGGTTTCTCCAACTATTTCTCTTCCTTGACGGGCATTATAAATCCCTGGTCGTATGTGGCTCACGGTTGGAAGCCCTACACAGATCGCATGTCCTTTTTCGAACGAGTTGACAACGTTTACAGCTCGCTTGTAGAGGACGCGTTGCGCACCTTTTGGTACTATCCGGCACTTAATGATATTTTGCAGAAACACTTCTCCAATCAGTTCAAGGAGCTGCCAACCATTAAGCAACTGGAGCGTAACATCTCAGCCATCCTTCTGAACACCTATTTGCCTTTGGAGCCGCCTAGGCCCGTTTCATTCAATATGGTTCCAGTGGGTGGCCTTCATATTAGGTCGGCGAAACCCTTGCCCACGAACATACAAAAGTTTTTGGATCAGGCTAGCCATGGAGCAATCTATGTTAGTCTAGGTAAGTTGTATCTACGATTTGCTAACCTTGATCGTGGTTGAAATATTTCCTGGAAGGTTGCCAAGTGTCCAGCGCAGCATTTCCGCCCGAAAAACTCAGGATATTCCTCGGTGTGTTTGGAAGCCTGAAGCAACGCGTCCTGTGGCAATTCGAATATGACAAGTTACCCAACCTGCCAGCTAATGTGATGGTTCAAAAGTGGATGCCCCAAACCGATATACTTGCTCATCCTAATATGAAGATTTTCATCTTCCACGGTGGGCTTTTCGGTTTTCAGGAGGCGGTACATTACGGTGTTCCCGTGCTCGGCATGCCCGCCTTTCCCGACCAGCATTTGAATGTTAAGAAGGGCGTAGCTGCTGGTTATGCCCTTAAAGTCGCCTATTTCACAGTTACTAAGGAGGAGCTGCAGTCTTCCCTTACAGAACTGCTGGAGAATCCCAAGTACAGGGATAACATGAAGCGTGCCTCACGCATCTTCCGCGATCGACCACTAAGTGCGATGGATACGGCCATGTTCTGGATCGATTATGTCATTGATCACCGTGGAGCACCGCATATGGTATCTGCGGGTCTGGACATGGCCTGGTATCAGTTTTATCTGCTGGACATCCTTGGCATTGCCTTGGCAATTGTTGTGTTGCCCATTTTGGGTCTGCTCGTCGTTTGTCGCAATTTCAACTCCGCGAAGAAGCCTAAAATAAAGGCTAAGCTAAACTAACAAAGTCCTCATTTATGTCGATAACTCATATTGATAAGCAAAATTGTATTAATTAGTTTGAATGCATCTTTAAAATGTTTCTCATAGTGAAAAGTTTGATGTTTTAATTCTATTCACCATCTCTCGCTTACTGCCCTCTCCCTTTTCTCTTTTTTCACTTTAGCTCCTTAGCATCAAATCCGTCTCTTTGTTAAAGCCCTTCTTTGCGAGTTTCAATTATTCTAATTGGATGGGGAACAATATCTATTTCTTTAAGCATTGATCTTAAGGCAACTGAATCACCCACAATTTATTATTATTCATCACGCGAATGCCTAATGTGCTGCATTCCACCTTCGCAACAACCGACAAAAAGCGCAGTCGTGTAACCTACGACAAGAGTTGTGTAATAAAAAAACGAATGCAAACTAAGATTAGCGACAAACACCATTTGCATGCTAAATACTTAGTTTATAATAGAAGAATTAATAAGAGAAAGGGAAGACTCCGCACAGAATACCCTGTGATTAATGGGTATCTAAGAAGTATGTTTAGTAAATATAGCATTTTTGGTGTATAAAACTGTAGAAAACTCGATTGTTTTTAAGCTCGATTTTATCTATATTTTGAAAATGACACAAGCTTTCGAAAAAAAAATAAAAATTCATCTTACGCTTTGAAGATTCCGAAGTCGAAGCGACAGACACACGGACTAAATTGACTCTGCTTGTCAGACCCATTTTAAATGAGTACAGGGTATACAAATTAAAATCAATGCGAATCGCTAAAAAAAAAAAACACGCCCGTTTCTTCAATTACGTCGGCATATTAATGTGATAACAGGCTTGCAGAAATCCGTTAGAAGCCACTGACTGATTAGTTTAACTAAACTCAGAGCACAGATGTCGTTTGGTTCTCAGTCGCCGGTGAATCGCGTCGCGGATCGGTCGCAGGCGATTTGTTAAAGTGCGAAACGGGAGAGCACAATGGTAATCAGAAAAATTAATTATACTTAATCAAATTAACTGAACTAGTGAGACGAGTAAATATAACTTCAACAGAGACCCCAAAAATTAAAAATAAAACCTTTAACCTAGAATAGTGAAAGCCATTAAATTTATCAGAATATTTCTTTAGCATCTAACGGTCTAACTAGTTTTTATGTTAATAAACTTCTCATAGAGATCAGTATGTGATTAGCATAAAAAAAAAAAAAACAATAGTCTCTAGTCGGGTCTTCACGACTACGAGATTCGTTGAACCCTGCGCCGAACTAACTTTCCAATTATTCTGGCTTGCTTCTACACACTTGCTACGCAGCTTAAGCTGCTGCTGTACAATTCCTAAAAGGCATCGGTGTTTATAGTCCGATCTTTTAGGACAGAAATGTGCACCCAAAACGTGTGTATATACCAAATTGCGATGCTCTACCTGTAATTACAGAACTTCATTAACCGACCGAAATACTTGCCAACACCTTATACCTTTTGTGTTTTTTACCAATCTTGATGAAAAAGTTGATCTTATTGGGCCTTAGAATATTTTTATATGCGCTGAGGTTGTTTGAGAGTATACACATTCATTGTCTTATTAGGATGCTTCCTTCCGCCTGTTACATACATTTGCAAAACAACATTATATATACCCTTTTTACTCATTTTATTGGGTTCAGGGTATAAAAACGATTAAAATATTTGATTAAAATTAAAGATGTTGATTGTCAGCACGTAGCGATCATTGGAAACGTTTCAAGTGGTTCGTAATCGTTAAACAGATGAGACCTCTATTAGGAAAACAAATATACAAGTAAATTGGCAGCTACTAGAACACATCTTATAAAGATAAGAAAACAGCTGGGCAGCAAGATAAGAATTCAATAATTTCACAAGTAGTTCTTTTCTACAACTTTTAATAACTTATCTTCTTGACCTGCAGCAACAGAAGAAAGCCTTGAAGTTCCTGCTGTTGGGCCTTGTGGCGCTGCAGCACTTGGAGCTTGGCGCTGGATCCCGAATACTGGCTGCCTTTTTCTTTCCCGGCAGGAGTCACTTCATGATGTTGAATGCCGTGGTCAGGAAGATGGTGCAGCGTGGACAAGAGGTGACCCACATCACACCATTCTCTTTGTCCTAGGAGAACTTGGGCTCGAATTATACGGAGATCATAATTCCACAGTATAACTTTTGGCCAGCAAGAATCTGCGAGAATAGTTCGCAGCTTTATCAGGAACTTATGAAATATCACAATTAGTTTTGGAAACGACCAAGGTTGAGTCTGTAGTGGGATTGACCGATGTCTCCACATTGCCACTCCTTAAGTTATTTTATGTCCTGGGTTTAAATAGCACAAGCCACATTCACGCCAAGGACAAGGTGGGCAAGTACGACTTACTTCTGGCCGAACAGTTTTTCAATGAGGGTGCCCACTTCCTGGGTCATCTGTATTAAATACCCATCGTAAGCCTGTTCACCTTCACTTTTGCCAACTATTTGAGCTCCCTGACGGGCATTGTCAAGCCCTGGTCGTATGTGGCACACGGCTGGACGCCCTACACGGATCGCATGTCCCTGTCGGAACGCATTGATAATGTTTACATCTCGCTGGCTGAAGAGCTATTGCGCAAGTTTTGGTACTATCCTGCCCAGGATGCGATTCTGAAGAAATACTTTTTCAAATCGTTCGACAAACTTTCCACCATCAGGGAACTAGAACGGAATATATCTGCTGTCCTACTGAATACATCCTTGGCATTGCCTTGGCAGTTATTGTGTTGCCTATTTTGGTTCTCATTTGTCGCAATTTCCACTCTTTGAAGAAGCATAAAAGAAAGTCGAAACAAAGCTAGGAAATTCTTAATTTTTTTTGTAACTCAAAACGTTTTATTGATAAACAAAAGTGTGCCACAAATATAATGTTAAGTTGTTTGAATAAATTTATAGTTTTTTTCTTAGAATTTTTAATACAATTTTGAGTGTTCAGTAAACATAGACAAATGACTTTTCTCAACTCGCTTCAGGGCAACAAATTGCTGCCCAAATAATTTATAAGAAAGCTTACAAGAAGCGTACAAAGACCAGCGACAGCTATCTGAACTGGGCGCTGAAATACATATTAGGGGTACTCATGATTTTCAATCTTACAGATCAAAATATACTTTTCAAATTTCAACGAATACAAAAGCTAGCGTGTTAATAAGTGTGCGTGTGTGTGTTTCGATGTGTGGGTGTTTGTTTTGTGGTTGTGCCGTGCGCGCTCTAATGGCTTATGACCATGGACTTCTTTACCTTCTTCTCCTTCTTCTCATGGGTGATGGTCACTTCCTCTGCGTTTAAGAAAGAAAATAGAGTCAAGTTTAAGTTAAGGTCTAGATGCGTTCAAATTTTGATGGATTACCTTCGAACTTGTGAGGCAACTGCTTCACAGTCTCAATAGTCTTGACCGTCTTCTCGCCGGGCTCGATAATCTCCTCCTCGTACTCCTCAATGATCTCCTCCTCGTCGGTATCGTCGGGGTTCGATTTGGAGCTGGGCACCGGATCGAACACAGTCTTCACTGCCTTCTTCACAATACCCTCAGCGGTCACGGTGGTATAGTGGTACTCGGTGCCGCCCTCGATCTTGATGGTCTCAACGGTGGTCACATCGCCCGGATTCTCGGAGGGCACGATCTTCTTGGTGCCCGACTCGGACCTGAGCTTCTTGGTGCTGGTCACGTTCTTGTGCTTCTCAGCATCCTTCAAAGTCTTCTTGTACTGCTTGATCTCCTCCTCGGTCAGCTCGACTTCTTCCTCCTCGTAGACAGTCTTCGAGGTGGTAATCGTCTTGCCCGACTCCAGTTCCGTTGAGTAGGTGTACTCCACGCCGCCGGGCACACGCTTCGAGGCCACGGTAGTGGTATCGTTTTGCACAAAGTCAGCTGGTGGTGGTGGTGCCGATGACTTGGGCTTCTTCTTCTTCTTGCCGCCATCGTTGGTGCTCTGACTGATGGCCTTGATGCTCTGCTCCTGGAGCGAATTCTTGCGCACGGTGCGATTGTTCTCGGTGTACTCAATGTTCTGGCTAACCTTACGCGTCTCCTCGACGGTGGTATCCTGGCGATAGTTCGACTGGCTATCGTTGACATTCTGAATCACATTCCTCTGCGTCTTTTGAACGATGCGGCGAGAGGATGACTCCGTGGAGTCGGTAGAATCCACCGACGACTTGCGCGTTACATTCTTCTTGGTCTTGTTCACCTTGGTGTTGGTGCTCTCATTGATTTCCGTGGGCACGGAATCAAAGAAGGTCTTGGTGCGCGAGCTGCGCGTGCCATCGTCATTGATGGTGGTGTAGACCTCCTCGTAACCGCCCTCAATGGCGCGGGTCAGCATGGTGGTCCTCTCATCGATGCGTATCTCCTTGCCCAGACGCTGCTTGACGAGTTTCTTGTTTGCCTGCTCCTTGGCCAGATCCGCCTCGCTAACAGGCTTTGGATCCCAGAAGGTTTTCACCTGGGTCTTGACCGTACCATTCGGCTGGGGCGTGGTGATGATCATCTCGTAGCCACCCTCAATCAGCTTGTACTTGGTGCTTGCACCGGTGGCCCTGTCGTATTCAACCTTGCCATCCTGAATGTCCGCGGAGGTCAGGAGCTCTTCGGGGTTTGGTAAAGAAGTTGTATCAGGTTGTGTTATTGTGTATATGTGTGAGTGGATTAGATGGTACAATATGTAAATAAATTGACTGTGTAGCGCAGCTTGCGAACCACTAATTCTCTGTCTGAGTGTGTGTGTGCGTGTATGGATGTGCCACATCAACCATATAAAGGGTTTCACTTTAATATTCCTATGCTAAGATATTGCAAATTAGTTTCATCTAAGGCGCATTTGGTAAATTGTTTAATAAATTCTTTAAAGCAAATTTTTTACAGCATTTCATAGATTTTACTGTACTTGTACTTGGGCTTAGACGTGCACCGGCTCCGGCACGAATTCGGATTCGTTGTCGTTGTCGCTATCCAGTTGCAGGGTCAGTCGGAGCAGCGCCGGCGTCTTCGCTGTCCTGGTCGCCAGTTGCGGCAGGCAGCTGTAGTGCAACAGCAGCTGCAGTAATTGTTATTTGAACTTACGCGACGCCTTCTGGCGGCTCGGCTTGGTGGGCGCCGGATTCTGCTGAAGGATATGCTGCGGTTGCGTCACCTGAACCGCAGGCTGGACACGTTGCGGCCTCCCTGTTGTCGTTGTCGTTGTTGTTGTCGGTTGCTGCTCCGCAGCTGTGTTGCTGGAGACTGGTTTCTGTGCGTTAGTTGGAAGTTTGTTAGTTGTGGCGGCTGCGGAGCTGGCCTTGGCCTCTGCCACACTTGACCCCTGATTAGTTGCCAAACTTGAGCTTGAGCTGGGGCCGGGGCTGGGGTCAGAGCTGCGGCTGGCTTGCGTTGCGTTGTGCGTTTGCTGCAGCAGTCTGCTAGCGGTTTGAGTAACAAATTTGTTATAGCCTAACGTGTTATCGTTATCGTGATCGTTATCGTTATCGTTATCTGGAAAATGCGGTTAGGGTAGTTGGTTTAACTGGCAAAAAAACTGGCAAGTCAATTGCATAAATGATGACTGAAGGTGATGACTGAAGCTGTTTGAAGCACAAAATACTGGATAACATGACTTAAAACTTTTTGATTGAGAGTAATGGAAGATGACTGATGCATAATATTGTGAAATGCATTGCTAAAGATTGATAAAAACAAATCAAGTGCTGATTGAAACTAAAATAAAGTGATTAAGGCTATGAATAAAAACGATGATAAATGCCAATCTCATGAAATGGCCCCAGCTTATTATAATAATATTGAAATTCGGCCGAAAAATGCTTATATAGGTTGGGTGTGATGTAATGTGGTGTCTGATGGCGCTTTGAGAACTTAGAAATAAACGACTGAAAACAATAAATGTAAAAAAAATTGTTCAAACTCACATATAATACGAGAGAAAGGGGTAAAGTTAAATACAATACGAGAAGAAGATCTTAAACTAAAATAAAAATGCACACGATTTTAAACGATTCGCGACGAAACGAAGAGTTTTGTTTTGTGTTTTGTGTTCTTGAATAAATATTTTATAGACAATATTTCAATGTAAATTACAACATAAAGGTATAAGAAAGATTTGATTGCTGTGAGAAAGCAACTAAAACAAACAGTTGACGTTCAACTCGTTTTGAGGGGAAGCTTACACACACACGGGTAACACACACACGCAACATTTTCAAGTTAGTTTCAAAATATATATTTAAGAAGATTTTTGTTTTATTATTATTTTACATTTTATACACACGTTTTTCGTTAAAAACAGAAAAAATTAAATAAAATTGATGAGGAGTTTTATGCAGATGAGCTGAAAAGTGGATGCCACAAATCGGTTAAGACTGAAGAGGGCAAAAGTACAACAAATTTCAATTAAAATACAATGAAGTGTAAAAGTTTTGTGGCTGAGCCAAGTGGTGGTGGTGCCAAGGATGTGTTTGTGCGTGTGTGTGTGAATTAAATTGAAAGCCAAGTGCGTCCTATATACACACATGCACACACATCACACACACACACATGCATTGCAAGTGTAACGTCGAGAGCAGCAGCGGCGGCAACGAGTGTAAAAAGTTTAATTTGAAAACTTAATTAAAATTTCTGTGCTCTCATATATATACCTCTATATATATTTTTTTCTCCTTTTTTTCAGTTTTATAATATGTGCCACTGCTGCTAACTAGGCTACAACACACGTGCGTGGGTGTGTGTGTGTGGGTGTGTGTGTGTGTGAGAGTGTGTGCCTGGGAGTAGCAATTAAATATGACATCTGAATGAGACTTGACAGCACTTGGCTTAAATTTTCTTCTGTTTTTTCTTTTTTGATCAGAGTCAAAAACTTGGCACAGTTGTGTGTAAGTGTGTGTGCGTGTGTGTTGGGCTGGGATATAGAGTTGTCAGTGGGCTCAACAAAACGACAAACGATTTGTTTATGTTTTTGTTCTCTACATATATTATTTTGTATCTATGAACTACCAGTTTGGTCAGCCTCCGCCTCTGCCTCCTTGTCGGGCTTGGCCTCCAGAGTCTGCGTGATCTTCTTCCAGATATTGTCGAACGCATCGGCGCCCGAATAGTCAATCTGTCCCGATTCCCAACACTGGCGACGCATCAGATTCTCGTATTGCTCCTGTTCGGGTGTGCGTTCGACGCCAATGCGCAGCTGTGCCAAGGCGCCGGCGAGACCAGCCTGAAAGTATCCAATTTGCCAGTGTTAACAGTGTCACGGAAAACAGTGCTGCCAAGTGCGTACACAAAACAAACTGTTTATGGATATCACAACTAAAGTACATAGAAGCATGCTTGATTTACAAATTGATTAGTATTTGTTTTTTTTTTTAGATTTATATAAAAATTAAAGTAATTTCCTTAAGGCACATTCAAGTGTTAGTGTTGAGGTTTATTGCGCGTGCACAACATGGCGTATGATTAATATGACGTAACAACAAAATGCTGCTCGGTGGGGGGTCATAAATCAGCTGCTGCTGCGAGCGCGCCCGTTGCTGCAAGCTGCTGACTGCAACATATTACCGCATGTCCTCTAGCAGACCTTGTGGCAGATTACTCTATATGCTATATGAAGATGGAGTGCGGCACCAGCGTTGTCTGTGTGTGAGTGTGAGTGTGTGTGTGCGTGTGTGTGTGTGTGTGTAATAAACAACAATAAAAAATGCTGTTGGCATTTGAATGCTTTTTGTATGCAAATGCAACTGCGACTGCCACAGCAGCTAACGGTGAAAGTCCACACACCCACACACAACACGAGCCACACTCACACACACACACACACACACACACACACTTGACCAGTTCAAGCCCCCTGCCACCAAGTAGCTAATGCCTTTCCAATAGGCCAAAGCAAGCAATAAATCAGCAAATGCAGCAGCAGCAGCAACAACAACCCACAAACATCATGATGATGGTGCATGAAGATAATGAAGTGACAGTGGACAGTGGACATTGATAACAACGTGTGATAATGGACATGCAAATGTGGCAAGCAGCAGGCGGCAGCAGCAACTTAACTAGACACCAGACGAGACGCAGGACGAGCGACACGAGACGCAATGCGACGTATTGGGGGCAAGGAGTGTATGGCAGACGAGAGACGAGAGACATGAGAGACGAGAGACATGATAGACATGAGAGACAGTGCAACCAAAGCAATGAGAATTACATCAAATCAGCAAACAGAAGGAGCGGGAGATGGTTTGTTGGGGGCATGTGGTTGTGGCTGTTGTGGTTTGGTGTGGTGCACTTTGAGATTTGCCCGATTCATAATATTGTTTTCTTAATTTTGTTTTACCTCGGCAGCAACGGGAACTTCTTCAATTTGTGTGTGATCTGAGGTGGTTTGTGTCGTGTGCTGTAGAGTTGGACAATGCGCGGAGTGGTTCGTGTGTGGTTCGTGGGTGGGTGCTTGCTCATTGCTATTTACATCAATTGCTCTATAATCTTCGTTGGCAGTGGGTGGTGGTTGTGGTTGTTGTTGTTGCTGTTGTTGTTGTGGTGGTGGTGGTGATGGTGCTTGAGGTGTTGGTGATGTGGGTCTGGGGCTATCATATCGGCATGCATCGCTCTGACCAACCCAACTCCTTCTTCTCTCGCCATGCACTTGCGTTTCACATGAATTCTCATTCGTATTGTCATTGTGCCAGTACTCGGGTTCGCTTTCTGGTTCGGGCTCATTCAGTTCTCGCTCCACTTGCTCATAATAATCTGCCCAAGGATCACGAAATTCGCGGACATGCGGCACATATTGCTGTTGTGGTTGTTGTTGTTGTTGCTGATGCTGACGCTGGTCATAGTTGCTGTCCATATCGTTATGATATTCAGCATATCTCGACGGATGCGTTATGTTTAAGCAAAGGCACTGTTTTGTGAATTTAGCGATAGGTTTTTGCATGTTTTATTTGCGATAGTTAAGCGAAATAATAAGAGTTGAAAATCAAAAATAAATTAAAATAACTTTAAAGCTATAAATTATAAGACTAACAGTTATAAAAAGAAAGCAAAATAAATGTTAAGGAACTTAAAGAACAGATAAAGAGAGGGGGGAAAACAAGAATACAAAACTTTTTTTACAAAATACAGGGTATACTCTGCAAGTCCTAACTAAGGTCTACTAAATGCATCTAGCATGCATCTGATAAATATCTGGTCACACTAAAAAAAGTGCTGCCCATTTGCTATAGAGTTGATAGCTGTTACAAGAGCGTAAAAGGTAACCGAAGAATATAAAATAATCGTTTGGAATAATAACAAGAGTTCCTTTCGGTTTTTATATTATAAGAATAATATTATTTTGGTCTATAGAACATGTAAATTCTTGTTTATGATAGCTTTTACAGGTGCGGCAACGGAAAGAGAAGTATATAAAATGCAGGTATTCAGCTAAACAGAAAATGTATGAATTATTAAAACAACTATCACCAATCAAAAGATCCCCATATTAAATAAGAAAAACTAAAAAATGTTAACCCCATCTTACATCCACATAAATTCAATTAAACTTTAATAAATATGTACATATTTGTTTTATATATCGGAAGCTTGCATTAAACCAGGTTTACTCAAAATTAATTTAATCTACCTTATCTTTAAAGTCCTTTAATATCTTACATTATGTCGTGCCAAAAATTGATGGGCTCGTTGACCATTGTTTGTGATCATTTTGCTCTGTCTGGTAAACTTTTCACTCGTTTTCATTATATACCCCTTTTACTTCTTGTCAATTGGCAATACCAATTTGCATGCCATTTGGATCATTTCAATTTATTGACGTCGCCAACTAAACATTCCGTTGGCTCTGGTCCAAATCGATGCAGAATCGAAAACACAAAAAATAAGGAATCAACACAAAAAACAGGCGCACACGAAAAATACACATAAACACACACACACACACACACAGACACACATTGAACAGAAACGTGGCATTAGAGGGAATAGAATAGATTAGAAAGACTCCACTTAGAGAAATGTCTGTCTAGCGCAAGAGAATAAAGGCTAACTGGGGCGTGGCTGTCAATTGAAATAAACGAAATAATTAAAAATAAACACAAAATAATAATAAACTAAAGAAAAGAAAATAAAAGTGTGAAAGAAAACTATAACGAGGTCGTTGAAACGAAAAATAAGTCGATGTTTGTTTGTTATTTACATTTTGGCTTATCAATAAATAATATAATTGTATATCGAATAAATATCGTAACCATATGTACAATGTGCCATAAATATTATGAATAAGTTGTGTGTAAACAATATTTAGAGCGACCCTCGCCTGGTGAGCTACATACAGTGAAGCGTTCTAAATGTGCGCTGGTACTGAATCAGCTTACCTCTGGTTGAACGCTTCTATCGGTATTATCACTAGCAATATCTGTATTATCCGGCTTTATAGGCTTTGTAGCGATTGCGCAGAGCAGCAAATTAGGGTTAAAACGACAGATTGATTTTTATTTTTGGTTAGGTTTTAGTCTTGGACGTAACGACAAACTCTCAAAAGTTGTTTAGCAAAAGTGAAAAACTAACAGTCGTGTGGCTGTAGACATTATTATAACAAGCACTTACCATAGTGTCGTCAAGGTAGTGATGCACATTATCACAGAAGATGGTCCACCAGTGTTGGATAAGGTCTGTCGCATGGGAGTAATCGTGAGGCGTGGCAACGGTTTTTGTCTCAGAGTTGAACTGTATCAACCAGGGCTTCAGTTTGCCAGCAAAATGCAAAATCTTAATCTTATCTCTGAACCTGAGTGTGTGGAAATATAGAGAGATAGGTACAGCATGAACTTCAAAGATACTTTCTGTGCACTTGCAGTGTCTGTGCCACCACTTACTGTTTGAACGCGGGCAAGTAGCAGTAGGAAGCATAGGCTGTCACATTATAGACAAAGGGCAAATGCTTCTTGATATCTGCGGTCGCCCAATCGGCAAAGAACTGATTCAATAGGCCCTGATCGCCGCCATCGAAGCTGCCGTTCTTCACGGCGAACTCTGTGATCTGATTGAAGGTCTCCACGCTGGGCTTGAAGACAAACACGCCCGAGTTGAAGCAATCCGGCCAGCTGACATCCGGAGCAGCGGACAGTTCCTCGCGCTCGAACAGCTCATCGCAGTTTTTCAGCACCTGTCGCCGGAGGAGGGTAGGGAGTTATTCAAGTTCACCTTCTCACACTGTCAATGTCTATATTTACCAGCGTGTCCGCATCGAGGAAGACGCACTTGTCGAACTGCACCAGGCGCCAGCAGTGGAGCTTTGTGAAGGTGACGCCCAGCTCGGGGCGGGCGAGCAGCGCCAAGTTGGCGGCATCCTGTGAGTCCAGCACATTCACCTCTTGTACAACATTGTACACGTCCTTCAGTCTGTCCCGCATCGCCTCCGAAACGGTGGGCGTCACCAGCACAGCCAGCTGATGGGCGGTGCCGGCACGCTTCAGCGAATGGGCCAGCACCAGGGCGCCCAGCGAGTAGGTATCATTTGTGGTCAGGGTAACCCAGGCGAACTCTGTGAAGCATATGCGACAAGAACTTGGATCAGTTTACAGTCCATATGCATATACATTATATACATCTGGGATCTTAGTAGGGAGAGTGAGCTACACAGATACACGAACACAGTTACGAACACAATTGCTTGGCATTGGCACAAGTTTTTCCAATATCCATTTTCATTTGCTTTTTTTTATTTATTAGTTTTGGCATTCAGAAATTTTCGCAGCGCAGCAGCGGCCAAATTATGGATTATAAATAAACAGGCAGCAGAGGAGTCTATATATGTATGCGTGTAGTTTATATAAATACACGATCTATTAGCTCTGTATGCTTGTGTGTGTATGTTTGTGTGTGTATGTGTGTGTGTGTGCGCATCTGCGTCAACAGCTTGTGGGCGGGGCACGCGTCACTCGCATGCATCGCTTTTGGCAAACTCTCGATTATTTGGGTTATATTGCGCCCCATTTGGGCTATTTTGTTGGATTCGCAAAAAAAGAGGAAAAACTAAATAAAATTAGCAAAAAGAAAAGCATGGCAAAATATTTTTAAGGCGCATCTGCTTAGTCGGCAAATTATATTTTGCGTTGTTGGCATTTAGTTGGATCGAATATATATACATATATATACATATATATTTATATATTATCGTATACAATGGTATATATAAATTCCACGATCCAAATAAAACTCAATTTTATTCGTAAAGCAAGCGTTAATTTCAGCGTTGAGTAATTACGAGCTGGGCAATGTACATTAGGCATATTAACAAGCTCTCAAATGTTATTATTAATCCAATTCTTATGATTAACTTAAAAATCTAAAATTTGTTTAAGCAAGTTGACTTAAGTCTTAAGGATGATATCAGCATTTTGTACTAAAAAGATCTTAAAGTTTGTGTATCTTCCTTAAACTCTATAATTATTAAAAGTAAAAGAAATTGACATCTGGCAAGAATTTTAAAAAAAAACGGAAATTACAATCTTCTACAACGGACTTGAACTGTGGGAGACCCTGCTAAATTGTATTTTCAAAATATATTTTTAAACTCTCAGAAATACTTTTCAAACAACATTAGTTTCTTCAGTGTGTGTGCTCATACTTTTAGAATCCTATAGGCCTCTAACTGTACATATTTATTCAAAAAACTTAATGACTTACCTTGTCATCTTGCTACTTAAATATTTATTGAATATTATTCAAAGTTAATTTACAATTAATTATAAATAAGCATGCACATAATTTTTGAAAAAGAAAAGAAGAACAAAAAAATATTTAAAATAAAATTCAACATAAGATCATCGTTATAATAGAAAAATAAGAAATTTATTTTTGACCAATAATTTGATAGTCGACAAGTAATTTAATGCTAAATCAATGCTACGATCAACGAATCTTTGTACAGGTGTCTGCAACTAACTTTAGTTGGGTTAAATTCATGATTAGTTCATTTTGTTGGGTTTAATTTGTTGTATTGTTTTTTTTTTTAGCTAAATAATCTTTTGGGTTTATTTAGCATTAGAAAGCGCACCGGATTGGTAGTTGAGAAGCGTTTAGATGTAGAGTATACAACAAAAACAGAAGAGAAGATGAATTTCAACAACAACAACTACCTTCTGTGCTAGGCATTCGGTTGCGGATGGAAACGGAGGAACGGCGAGCGGCAAACGGCAGCAGCAGCAGCTGAATGCATTGGTGACAGCCGATGCCACCGTCCGGCAGGTGGCGCTCTCATATACGAAAATGTATCTGACGGATTTAATGGGTGTGTGTGGGTGCAAAATAATGCGACTTCAGGGTGTTGTTTTATCTTTTTTTGTTGTTTCTTGTTTGTTCTTTGTATTTTTTTTTTGAGATTTTCATTTTATTTTATGTGTGTGCAATGAGCTGTTGTGCCTAAAATAAAAATGAAATCATTTACTTGACGAAACTAGAATGGTTTTTAATAACTTCGTGACTTACCGGATACGAGCACAAACAACAACAAAACATCATGTCACAACAATAAGAAATATATATAATTTTTTTTAAAAATCAAAACGAATGCGTCCAAAAATGAAACGACATCGTAAATTTTGATTTAAATCAAATAAACAACACTTGTGCGACCAAATTTAAAAACAACTGTTGCCGAAATTGTACAAATGTCAAAGTAAACGAACCGACATTGATCTTAAAATACGTATAAATATATATATATATATATCTACTTAACTAAGCGATTAAGGAATTATTGAGTAAACCGACAGCTGTTGGCCTGTGCAAGCAAATTTAGCATGGCACAAACCCACTTGAAATTGTGCGCAGTGTAACCAAAAGCTCGCTCAGCCTTAACAATATGACTCTTAGATTAAGAAAAGCTCGCTCGGCAGCTGCAGCGCTCTCTTAGCTGGCAAGCAAAGGCCCTCGAGCTGTCAACCCCCGCTCCAGCTGCTCTTTATCAGCTGATTCACTTGCCGCTCCAAAAGGTCGTGCCACAAAAGCGGCAACTGCTCAATGAGGCGTTAAAATTTCGTTTGACCTGAGGCCGTGCTTTGAATGCAACGAGTTGCATGAATGGCAGGGCATGGTGTGGCATACAGTGGGCATTCGGAATGGGGGAATTGGTGGCACTCGACAACGGAAACCCGTTCATGCATCGCCGCCAATGCCAAAGTGAACGCCACATTTGTTGCAGCCGGCATATGGCGAGATGCGAAAGCAATGGACGACTGGCAGACCGGCAAAAATCAGCGAATGCAATGCCAACACCCAAAACAAGTTATGCGGCAAATCTGAAGAAGCGTGTGTATCTGCTAGATACATATACGTATTATACGTATACGTATATGTATGTGTGTTGGCAGATATGCGTTGTGTGTATAGCACTAAGGAACAGGCCACTAAAAATAGCCAGAAAATGTGAAATGAAATTGTAGCGCGACAAGCAATCGCTGCTGCTTGCTGCTTGCTGCATGCAGCACGCACACAGATACACAAACGCAGAACACAGATACAGATACATTTTTAGAAATTCAATCACAGAACGCAGCAAGGGAGCTGCCAAACTGGAGAAGCAGAGCCTTATGATTTATGCGGGCATCAGATTCAGATACAGATACATATACAGAAACAGCTACAGATACAAATATATATACATATTATATACGTACTGGCATTTTTTTAATTTTCTTTAATTTTCTGCTTGCCATTGTGGGCGTTGGGGGCTGTGGAAAAGTTTTTTCTCGAACATTTTGAAATAACACTAAACATTTTTAGCGCCTGTCGCCAGCCATAAATGTATATGTATATACATATAGAAGAGTATATATATAAGTGCTGTCTATAAATAGCCGATCTACATCTATAACTAATGCCTGCTCTTTGCGTACATTTAGAATATGATTATATTCATTTGATTCATGCATTTCAAACATGACGCGTGTGAAACTGCCAGGCCAAATGCAGCTTTAATGAGCTAGGGAATGGGAATAGGCATAGGGGCATTCAATCATTAAGATGCGGAAATTCCTTTCATGCTGATAAGATGAATATGTGAGTGCTGCCTGGCGCTAGTCTTTCTAGTTTTAACAGTTCTAATTAGGTCACGACTTGCAGCAATCAATGGGCTGACGACAACTGACAAGTGACAACAAGGCTGGCACTGACCTTCACCACGCGCTCTCTTCAATAATTTGCCCACTCTGTATGCTAACCTTTGCCTAGCATTGCGATGCAGCTGTCAAGCCTGTGCTTACGCTCTCAGTCGCTGCCCAATGCAATGCCGCGCATATCAGCATAGCTGTGCTTACGCTCTCAATCACTCTCTCTCTATCTCTCTCTCTCGCTTTCTTAGGCTCTTAAAGCTTGGCTCTCTGACGGCGCTAAAGCTCACGTAACCAGTGTGCACGTTATCAGTGCGTCAACATTTGTCTAAGGCAATTTCGCGCATACTTTTCATAAACAAACAACTGACGTATGTGTGACTGTGTTTTTTATACACGTTTTGTCTTTTTCTAATGCACTTTTTTTTCGAAATCAAACGAAATCTAAATGCTCTGCATGCACACACACACACACACATACGTTTACATTCTCATGCATACACGCACAGGCATGGCTAGCGGCAGCGGCTAGGCAAATGCTATTGAAGGTCAGTAAAGGTCGTCGCCGCATTGTGCTGGCCCCAAAACACATGTATTTGACAATCTCATTATAACAGGAACATATGAAAAATATAGAATCTATATGTATTTTTGCAGAAATGCGGCGCTATGAAATATGAGAATGCAATTGATTTGCGGCTTTTATTAATTGCGATAAAAAGAAACAGAGAAGAGCTGCTGCAGTCGCACTCGCAGTCGCATTCGGAGTCGCAGTCGCAATCGCAAAGGGAAGGCCCAGCGACTCTCAACTTGGATATGATAGGCAGTAGCCATGCATAATACACACACACACACACACACGCACAGACTTTCATTTATCTTTTTTTTATATTTTTATCTGTGGTCACTTCTTTTGCCGCTTCTTTGGCGGCAACTGCTGTTGCTGCTGGAAAAACTTACTGCTCATTTTGTTTTTGTTTTTTTTTTTCTTTTTGTTTGTTAGTTAACTATTGTAAACACTGCAAAAACACGCGGAGCGAGTCCTTCGCGTTTTATTGCTTTCCGGGGGATGAAATTGGTCTTGGTGGTAGCGGTGGGTGGGGCGTGCCCGTTGAGCTTTCACACAGAGTGACGAGAGCGAGTCGATATTCTAAGTTGCCTGACGGAGGGTTCTGCGTTTGGCTGTTCTGCCTACCACGAGCGACGACGAGAAACTGAATGTTGCGAGCAAGCGAAAACTGCGGACAACGACGACGCAGACGACAGCAACGGCAACGGCAACGCCAACGTCGATGCCGTGGGCAATATACGTGGGGGCACAGTCGCAGTCGCAGTCGGTAAGTTGTCGCCGCCGTCAAGCAGCAACCACAAAACTGTTACGGGAGACGAGGGCATCGAGAAGTTGACGAGGAAGGCGCCAAAAGTGAATTTTGCATTATACATATGCTCGCTTGAATTTCATTTCTTCTGTTTCAACCTTATTCGCCGGCAATCTGTGCGCACCGGTGCTCAAGAGAGAGTGAGAGCGAGAGACCGCGCGTTAAAGGTGCGAATATATACAAAGACAAACAGTAAATTTCAATTTGTGCTCGCTCTTTTTACTCTCTCTTAACATATTAAGAGCGCCAGCTTTTTAAGAGCGCAAAGCCCGTAGGCTGCCAAATCATTCAAACTTGCACTTGTTGCATTAGTAAAGAAAGGCCTTCGGAAGTTCACCTGTAAAAAGTGTTAGGAATTTATAGTTTCATTATTTGATAAGCTTATCAGAACAATGTCATATTTTGTTGACTACGGCTACCGCTATCAATGTAAATAATTGTAAATAACAATAAAGTATTTTCGTACTGATCTGCTGACCTGCCCAGTTGCAGACATGTTTGTTCTTGTTAACTTCTGAACTACTCTCAATAACTACCCAACACCAACACAAGGTAACAGTAAATATTACAGCTTAGGTAAATACAAATAAAAACTTGTCAGTTGAAAATAAGCCGTTGTCAAGTAGGTAGCAGAAATGTTTGATATCTTTATGACCCATATAGTATTATCTCAAATGTCCTTTGGCTAACTTTACACAGGATCCGCTAGAATTCGTCCAATTTATGATTTCTTTTGAAGAGTAATAAGACAAGTGCGTTTACTATTTGGCTAAAATTAAAGACATCCTGAATTTTTAGAAGACCACCTAACCTTTGAATGCCGATAACGCTGATGCTTGCTATAATCTAAAACTGAAACTATAACTCGGCCTCGTTCTTAAGGACTCGACAGGACATACCTCTGCATAAAGCAGAACAATTGATTAGCATTCAGGCTACGATACGTTGATAACAAGGCAAAAATCCTCAAGGAATTGGCCGCTATTTAACCGAGATATTTAAAATATAGTATTTTTAGAAACTTCAAATTATATGTCTCTGGTTTGCATGCTAATCGAAAGAGTTTTGTAACGCACCGAGTTTAAATAATTTGCAAGGATATTCCCGAAAAAGAGCTATTTTATTTATATTTATCTGGGAGATCGATTGGATGAGACCTCCGCAATCTCCTTCGCGTTCGGACTCCTCCAATTCAACGCCTCTTTAGAAGACGCCCAGCCAGTCGATTTGGATGGTTTTCCCAGTCGCGTTATGTAGTTAGTTTGCAGTCTGTTTGTTTATGACGTCCCCGATTTTGGTCATTCTTTTTTTTCCAAATCGGAAGTAGAAAAAAAAATGTTATTTTCTTTTTTTTTTCTTTTTCCAAATCGCATCATTTTAAATTTAAATCGTTGAATACTTTTCAATGCTGATCCTAAAAACACCGAAGCACCAGTTATACTGCGTACTTTCGGGCAGCAAGCAAATGTTTTACCTACGAGCTGTTTTTGGGCCAATTCGGCCTAGACAAACAAAATCAAAAAACGTGGTATGCCAGTCTATGCCAGAGATCCGTACGAGTTCAAAAAGGTATAACTTTCCAAAATCGGACCATTTTTAGCCGAATTATCGCAAAAAAACGAAAAATCTTCAAAATTATAACGGCATTTTTTCGCGTTTTTCAAACAGCTGTATCTCGGCCAAATAAGCCCCGATCTTGGAAAGATTGGTCTCGTTCGACTCGTGGTCACAGCCTTTTTCAGCCAACATCAAAATTTAGAATTCAGATTTTTTGGTGTCAATCGATAGTCGGGATCCGTACGAGAAAAAAGAGGTATATCATTTCGAAATCGGACATATGGTACCCGAGATATTTCAATTTTAATTTTAATTTCAAAAACAAGTCAAAACGTATTCTGCAGACAGCACGAAAGTATGCACTACTAAAATTCTGCTAAAAACCGCTACAAACGGCTATAATGGCTATTTCTCGGCCAAAAAAAGCCCGATATCGGGCAGATTGTGCACGAATGTTTTTTTGGAAATGGCCGATATCTCGGCTAAATAAAGCCCGATTTCGGAGCGATATACATAGTATATATATAATACCTCTTTCTACTCGTACGGATGCCGACTATCGATTGCCACACAAAAAACCGCATTCAGACAAACCATAATTGTTCTTGCAATATTTATTATATTATATTATTATATAATATTTGTGCATTTAATACTTTATAATAATTATTAAATGACGGCCCGCAAGTTAGCTACGAAATTAAATTCATGTTCACCAACAAAATTACAAATTAAATTCTACATGTCACAAGGACATTTAGAAAATAATATCAATAAAAAATCATACAAAAATTAAAGTTATGTTGTTTTGGCATTTGTTAATTATCATTTTAGTTTAAATAATTGTCATCTTAGTAAACACATATCTTGGAGGGCTGGCTCAGGTTGAATGTAATATCTATATATAAACAATAAGTCTGTATAAGTAGAAGTAGAAGAATTCTTAAGACGACGAAACGATCAAATCAAAGCTTGAGCTAAAGTTTTTGGTACTCGTAGTTGGTATATGGCAATTCGATAGATAGTCTGTAGATTTTCTAAGCGTACGAACTAGAACTAAATAACTAGTCTTAGAACTAGGTGCTATACATATAAAATATAATTTAATTGTGTTTAGGTCTATGGTCATGCTGAGGCAGTATCACAGTGCAGGGGCTCGTCCTCCAGCCGATTGTTGATTGTGTTTCGCGGCGATATCACAAAGCGTTTGCGATTCTGTATCGATTGGCTGAGGCGTCGGTTGGCGCGCTTTTTGCGCCATCTGTGTATGCAGTAGCAGAACACTGCAAAGGTAAAAAAAAACATGCCACATCATGTTGCAAAACGAAATCGGTGCTCATTTGTTAGACTTACCCAGCAGCACCAAAATAACGCCGCCAAAACAGCCGGCGGCGAAGAGCCAGAGGCTGCGCGTCTCGGCCAGCTCCGCGCTGTCCACACAACTGCGGAATGTCGGCGAGTCCACGGTGCGATTGTAGGGCAGTGGACACGAGTCGCTGTCTAGCGCCTCTGGGAAATGGAAATGCGAATGGAAATTGGAAACTTGGTCAAATGCCAAAATTAGCTGCAGTTGCAGCTGCTCTTCTGCTTACCCATGCAAACGGGCACGAATTTGGGATTGGCGCCCATCGTCATGAGGTGATTGGTCACCTGCTGACAGACGCAGGCGTTGATATGAGTTCGTGTCAGATCGATGACTTTCAAATGGCACAAATTTGCCAGTTTGTCAATGTTGAAGTTGCTCAACGGATTCGCCGAGGTGTTCAGCTGCCAAAGATCTGCAAAGAAGAATCTCAGTTAGTTTTCAGCTATAGTACAAGATATCTCTATGCTATCTCTCCTTGTTCCTGTTAAAGTTGACAATCACGTGGGCCAAATTTAATTTCAGTCGAATTTATCATGCTTTGGCAGTTACATATTTAAATTCATTTAGCGTTGCCACCTGGTAAAAGTCTTAGCATATGGCAGCAGTAGCTACACACAGCTTGCGATAAGGATTTGAAGAATTAGAATAGCTACTCTTAAGTAAAATATAGATTATCTGTCAAAATATTTCAGGTAGTTAAGCTAAGCTAAGCTAAGCCTTTTCTTATTTTATGAAATTCTCCCGTCAACTACACGGCAAAGCGTTGCCACCTCGTTTTAGCTGCCTGTAAACTAACGTGAGCTTTGACACGAACATTAAATAAGTCTAGCGACTTACTTGGCAACACTCCCAGATCGGGAATATCATGCAGCTCGCAATTGGCCACATTCAGGTATTCCAGCGGCGCACGAATGGGCTTCTCCAGCGTTTCGAGCTCTTCGTGGAGCTCCCTCAGATCATTGCTGTCTATGTAGAGATTGCGCAGCCTGGGCAGCGAGAACAGCTCCATGGGAATCGTGGTGAGCCCATTATTCGATAGATCAACTTCCTGTGCATCGATCAATGGGTTAGTTAGTTAGTTAGTCACTCGCAAATCGTAATTGCCGACATTAATTAGATATTTGTTGCTTACCTGCAGCGCGGTGAGTGGGGCAAATGTGCCCGGCTCCACCGATAAGATCATGTTCTCATAGAGCATTAAAAACTTAATATCGGTATACCTCTGGAACGAGCCACTTCTCAGCTTCCTAATGCGATTGTACGATAAGTCCAGTACCTGTACAAATTATGACTTTAATTCTCGCTTTTTAATTGCCAAAAGAAATTGCCAAGTCATGCGAGATATATAGCAACTGCTTACAGCTACAGCTACAGATGCATTTTATCGGGAGAGTGTATGCACAGACATCGGGCAAATTTGGTATATAAATTAGATTTGCGATTTAAACGAAGATAAGCTTGAAGCAGTAGACAAATCGTGGACTGAAGCTAGTATTACGCTTTTTATAAAACCTGTCAGACTCGGGCATATGGGGGTGTCAATTTGATTTGTCGATTATAATTTTTATTTAGTTTTAAATATTCTTCATTTGAAGTAAGAACTTACTTTCTGGGCATAAAACTTAGAATTAAAGAATATCTTTTATTAATCTAGCTTAAAGTTCTCTTAAGTAAATATATATCTGCATACAAAGAAGAAAACTTTCATTTATAATTACAAATTTTCTATCGATATTGAAATGTTCTTGAGCAGAATAATCTCCATTATAATAATCAATCGACAAATAAATTATTGCTAACTTAATTGACTTAAAATATGGTCAATTATGTTTGCAAAGCTTCTGGATATCACGAAATATGTGTTTTTTAACTGGGGAGGGGGGGCTGCTCTCATGCAAATACATATCTGCATATTCATGTCGCATATATTCCGGCATATTTATGCCATGCTACAAGTGAACTTCTTTATGCTTTAATTAAGCTCAATTGATGGAACTACTGTGTGTGTGTGTGTGTGCACTTGGGCTTGTTGTGTGTGACTGGGGTCTGTAACTGTGACTGGGGACACACGAGACACGAATTAAGTTTGGGGTCATGCGATTTTTATTGGCTCAAATTGACCTGTTCTGGCAGGTCGCAGCTGCTGTTATCGGCCAATTGGTGTCAGCTACTCACCTCGACGGAGGTCTTTAGGTTTTGGGGCACCTCCTTGAGGTCCATGTTGTAGCAGCGTATGCGCATGAGCTTCTCGATGCGCCCGTACGAGCACCTGCGCTCATCTTGGGGGGCAAAGCCAAAGGCCAGCATCGCATTCACAACGGATATGAAGACAATATTCAGCAGCAGGCAACGCAGCTCCATGCTATATAAATATAAATAGATTGAATATAGATTAGATGGGAAAACAAATATTGACCACCAACATTGAGGCATCAATGGCGCCTATTAAATCTCTGCTGCTCTGTTCCTATTGTGCTGTTTATTTCCCTGGCTGTCTATCAAAAGAATAAATAAAACGAAATTTAAATGTGCACACTGCCGCACCTGACCCAAAAACAATTATTTTCGAATTAACAAATTACAAGATCAATGCCGCGCCATTGAGGATCAGCCTCCATGCTCGATGCGTTCAATCAAGTGGAACTGCTCTGCCACGGTGGGCGTTTAGTGTGTGTTCGCTGTGGGCGTGGCAATAAATTGAATTAGTTGTGAACTATGTATAAAGCCACAAAACATTGTTTGAGCAGGGCACAAAACGTGGGTCAATGCGGCGTATGAGTGATGTTTGCTTTGTGCTTAGCGCATATTACGTATACGACCTGTTATTGTTTGGCTTTCACTCAGTGTCAAGGGGTGGCAGCCCCATTGTGCGCACACCAACATGCAGCTATATGGAGAAAATCAAGTCGAAAGAGTCGAGCATTTTTGACTGGCTGCTGCCGGTTAAAAGGGGTCTGGTTCTCGATTCTAACATCACAATTATTCAGGGCATAAAAATGCTGATTAACAACTGGGTGGGATGAGTCGTGGCAAGTCGTGCCGGAAATAATTCACAATGTGCAATATTTGTGCTCTTCTTCAGGCTGTATACGTCAATAGAAACCACCTGCTAAATATAACGCACGAGCTGACTCACTCGCTGGCACTCGAACTTAAAATGAGTCTAAGTCTAATAGACCTAGTCTTTGGGGGCTTCTTTGTCTATTATCTTATCGCTGTGCCTTCCCAAATTTATTATATATCTCCCTTGATACAACATCAAACAGAAAGCGAGCTGCGCACAATAAATCATGGAGGAATCGTAAGGCCAAAATATCTTTTATGGAACGTGTCAAAACACCCACAAAAAGCGCTGCTCGACGATTTGCCAAAAACAAAAAGAACAACACAAGATATATTGAACGGCTGTAAATTGATTAATTGCCAAAAGCCACAAACAACTAGAATAGAAGATCTTTCTGTTGCTCAGGATAATCGAATGCCATTTGCCAGAAATGCTTTTCCAAAGATATTATATATCGGAGCACATATTTGTTCACGTTTGCCAATTGTTTATGCGGCTGTCACGCCCCATTCGAGTGCAGTTGGTAGAGTCATGCGATAGCCAAATGTTTCACCCTCCGTTCTTCTTCTTCTTCTACTTCCGCGGCTTGTTGCAAGCTGTTTCATTTGTTGCATTTCATCTGGACAATGCACGTGCCAATTACGAGTTTGTGGAAAACAGTTGCGTGATTGCACAAACCTTTGTTTATGACTAATTTGTTGTCCGAATTGTAAACGTACTTTTTCCTAAACCTATACAATTTCATTAAATAATATCAGGTTACAATACAGCCCCCGAAGGCGTTCGCATATTTCTGTGACATTCAAGATAATTGCAATGCGTTTTTTTGCTCAAGTCTCAAGTTCAGTTTACAGCAAAATAAATAAATAACAAAATATGTCAGCGCTGTTAATTGTTGTTAAAAGGGCATTTTAGTAGAGGAAATCTGAGCCAGATTTTGTATAGGATATCTCTAGTCCAGCACTTAAAGTTTGATTTATGGCATCAAGGAATATTATAAGAGAAGCTACCCACTTAGCCTATTTGCCCAGAACTTAACGTGGCCGAATGATTGATGGCTCGGGGCACTCGGAAATCTTATTTGAGCACAATAAAACATACGCCAAAGCCAATTCGAGTCGCGGCTATAATGGATGGCTTTAATGTCGTCATATAACCGATAAGAGACATGTCCACAAAGGCGGTAAAACCAATCAATAATTTATGTCGAAATAAATGTATCACACTCTTTCCTAGTATTGGCCAACAATCGCAGCGGGTGATTCGATTTACTTGGTCAAATAAAACAGGGGAAGTGGAATGCAGATATTTGGACTATGTCCAGAAATCTATCTGCTCCAATTGACAAAGAGTTGAGGAAGATGCGTACACAGTGCTGGCAAAAAGTATGCCTCTGTTGACTTGGGCAACTAATAAAGAGTATCCCCATAGGAATACCCATTAATATCCCAGCATATTTAAATGGCAGATCATTTCATAGGAAAACTTTAACAATATTAATATGTATAAGCAATATCATATATTTTATAAAAAAATAGTTCGAAAATAATAATAAAGAAAAAAACTATTGTAGTTTTTTTAAACAATATTAACAAGAGTAAAAACAATCATAACATTTTACAAAATAATAATAACTACAAAAAAATCAGAACAAAAGAAATAACATTTTGGTTTATAATGCAAATATGAATGATATTTTTTTAATACGAATGTGATTAGGAGAAATATTGGCTAGTAAAAGAGTTAAATAATTATTATGAATTTAGAAAAGTATGTTCTAAGGAAAAAACGGCATAAAAAAGAATTGACTAAAACTTTTAATAATAGGAAATTTACTGAACGGGTAAGCGTACTGCTGTCGCGCACTGTGCACTCTGCCTGTACCTCTGTCATTAGAGATGCCTGCCGAATCGCCAAAAAAAAAAATATTTAAAAAAAATGTATAAAAAATTTAAGTGATTTCCACACATTTACACACATAGAGGCGACCGCAACAATGAGTTCTGGCTATAAATACTACTCGTATAAGCCATATGCAAGTTGATTTTTTGAACAGAATTCAAATTATATTTAAAAAATTTGAAGCAGCGGAAAGACAACGGGCCAACTGCAAACTTATGGCGCACACAAACGTTCAAAATATTGTATTCAGCTTTAAAACAATTTTTTTTTAATTAATTTTTATAGTAGTATCGGGTTGAAGGGGTGTGGTTGGGTGTTGATGCGGTATGGCCGACATTTGTTGGGCTTAAATTCAATAAAATTGGCAATAAAAAGGGCTAATGCTCGACAGGCGATGCGGCTACAAACGAACATTTTCCATAGCCATAAAAACAGATCAGACACAGATCTCCAAATGGGGCACATACATTCGCGCCTTATGCTCTGAGGTGGGGCATGGCATAGAAATGAAAATGAATATGGAAATGGAAGTGCTTAAATTGAAATCAAAATTCGAATTTATGCATTCCACTTTGGCCGCATTTATACAATATATATATATATATTTATGGGGCTCAATCAGGAGAACCAAAAAAAACAAAACTCGACAAAATCACGGGAAATTTACAGCGAGGGGGTGTAGAAGATTCGTCAGCGCATGGATTACGGCCTGGCTAATGATAAATATGTATGGAATATTATTTATCTGCGCATAACCCAAGCAGATGTTAAGCAAGCGATTATGGGATCAGTAAAAATCAGAACTATACTAAAATATATAAAAAAAAACATAAAAAAAACACAAATTCTAAAGCTTATAAAACAAGAAGAAGGAAACTTTAAATTAGTTTCAAATATTTTAATAACATTCTAAACATTTGTGAATGGATTTATGTGCTCGTCTGATACCCCTTGTCACACTTTGTGGGCGTTACGCGCCGTTCCATGTATATATCTGTGTGTATCTGTGTGTATCTGTGTGTATCCCCCCTCAACAGGTGTGCAGTTTGCGGGGCCTCCGCCCGGAAGATTTATTCTCATTTTTCTTTACGCAGACTCGTATGATAAAGATTTATTTGTTTAGACTTTATGTGTTGAAACAATAAAAGAGGGGCCCATATGCGCACAGGGGCCTTACGCCTCTGGCGGCCTCACATATTATTTGTTTTCTTAACCGTCGAAACACTTTAACGTAACTGAATCTAATCGGAGGACTCAAGTGCACGGCGTACACATATAACATGTTGCTTTTATCAGCGTAATGAAACATTTCGGTTTTAATGTTGAGTGGGCTGCCTTTGGAGCCATTTGCTCCGTACAAGGGAGGGAAACATCGATGACGAAAACAACGTCAAAGTCGAAGTTGAGGCAACACGAAATTAATTGAAAGCAACAACAAGAAATGTAATAAAAACGTTGCCCATTTATTTCAATTAAACACAATCAAGAATACATTTTTCCCCAGAGACGCTACAAAAAAAAAAAATTCGCTGCTTCAGCAGAAAAACTGACCATTGGCATTCGCAATGGGGCCAATTGAAGAACTTACAAAAAATGATATATATGTACATATATGATGTGTAAAGATTAAAGAAGTTTCCGAAACTTAAGTTAGAAGAAGCCAGCAAAAACGCAGCAATTAATTAAGGAAATTCCTAGAACTAATCGGATCTAGGTATTCTCAGGAATTAAAATGGTAAAGAACTTTAATCAGATATGTATTCCCAGGAAATTTAAAATGTTTACACAAATCTTCAATAAAGAACGATAATCAGAACCATCCATTAAAACACGTAGCTGAAAAACTAACTACAAAAATATATATTATTTTGCCTAGGATATGGACTTGTATGGGACCATTATTATCGATGCTTACAAAAATCGACTCTGAATGACATTTATATGTGAACTTTTTGAAAACAATGTGATCAGGTATCATCTCTCAATAATCTAGTCCAAAAGAAGTAGAACCGAAGCAAGCCAGATGGATCGCGCTTTGACAACTTTATTTTACTCACAGAAGTAAAATTAAAGAGAGATAAGGAATTTCAGATTCAGATTCAGAATAGTAGGGCCAGTCATTTATGGCGGGAACTAAGAAAGCCAAACAATAATTCTTTCTTATAGTCTTAATTTCCTTTGCCGTAATTCAATTTCATCGTCGCAACGTTTAAGAACAAGAATTCCATAGATTAGACCTTATCGTCCAGTTGTTTCGATTATTGCCCCACCAATTGCTTTTTATTTATGACTCCTTGTAGAACGCATTACACTCATGCAACACCTTCCAGGTGCGTCCTATGCTGCTTTACAGCACTTAATAAAAGTGAACTCAATTGTGATTAAAATGTACGATTATTAAATGAAACCTCACGGTTACAAAGTGCTTTATATTTCGTATAGCTTCTTTTTAAGTCTACCAAATCAAATCAAATCAAATCTTATCTTTCTCGGCTTAGCCTTGCTTTGCTCAATATTTCTGCATTTCGCATTTGACATTAAACGTTTTGGGTACTTTTGAAACCACCCTGGCGTATATGGCCCCCCGACTCTACTTCCAATTCCCGACAGTTCGCGCAGAATTCTCCGCCTCTTCACTCAATTGAAATCAATTTAACTGTTTTTATCTCATTATGCTGTGGAGAGAGTACTTGAGGTCAAAGCGCATATAACTAACTAGAAACTTCAAGTCGATTCTTCTATTGCAGTCTGAATATTTCAAAGCTAATATTCTGTTATACTATAATATTTTTATTTTACTACCGATAACCCAAGTAACCCCGATAAGGCCTCAAATTGAGCGCTTGCGTCTTACCTCTTAGGTAATCCAGTGTATGCTAGATATTTCCATATAAAGTGCGTTATCCTTAAGTTCAACACATTGTCCGGGAGGGCACATTTTTATTATTTAGATATCAATTCGATATGCTTGATAATTTCCATTATGTGTGATCGAGTTGAGACACTGCACAAAAAATATATATTTTCGCTTCACCGAAATTTCAGTCGTATTTCAATTAACACGAATTTTTTTTGTTGGTTCTATTTTTTTGTGTGTTTGCTTTGTTTTGCCCACCGACGGAACCGATCGCAACGACCACCGGAACCGACCCGTTCAATTCAACCGCAGACTGGGAATTGAAGCGATCGCGCAGAGCAAACGCAGATCGCTCGCTGCTCGGTTTGCCTTTCGGTTCCGAAAAACCGAAACTCTGAAAACGTTGATAAAGCACCGACGGACAACGGGCGACGGACGCGGCGACAATGCAGCCCATTTGTAGGAGAAGGGGTGGGAGAGTGCAAGGGAGGGAGGAAGGGCGGCAATAGGTGGGCTGCAGGCCTTGTAAATTTCTTGAGTGAAATATGAAAATATGAAAATTTCAAGAGCGTAAAACTCTCTGTCTCTCTCTCAGTCTCTCTTTGTTGCAGTCGCTGCTGGTGATAACAATGGCAACTGATATACATATGCCCATATATGAGTGCATGCAGCCCACTGTGCCTGGGGCCGAATTGAATTTGCTCTGTTTGTGGGCCTCCGATTCTGATTTCGACAGCTTTATTTAGTATTTGTGTGTAGCTCAATTTCAGCTTCAATTAGCAGTTGATAGCTAACAAATGGATCGGATCGATGACGATGTCACCCAGCAGCATTTTCGATTTAATCAATCTTTCACGTCTCGCGGGCTTCCGACTCCAGAATGCCACAAATTACAGTTCTAGAGAAGAGACACGAAGAGACGTCTGCTGTGATAAGGCTGGAACGTCAGCTTATGCAATCACATTTCTTATCAACAATGTGCTATTTCATTAAGACCTTAAAAAAATAAAAAACAATTTTCCAACTGACAGTTGTCAAACAAAAGTCAATTATGAAAGTCTTTTCTGCTATCAGAAGTGTTCTTGAGGCACAACTGACAACGGTCTGATTTTTAGGGTTTCATCAAAAGAGTTATTTGTTTCGAAAATGTCTACAACTTACCAATATTATACAGTGATCACTCGCAAATTGGAACTTACGGAACTTGTAGCTAATATTTGCAATTGCACGCTTTGCATTAATATTTTATTTTAATTGACTTTAAAGTTATTTTGTTTTTAAATATATTCCAGATTAGTCTGCAATCTTTTTAAACACCCCAAGAACCCAAATGTTTTGCTTTGCGAGCATTCACTGTATTAAACGACTTGTTAATTTTCAAAAACTAAACTAAAACGCAGAAGTCTGCTGATAAACCCCTGAGAAAACAGTCGTTAATGCTGTTATACTATCTTAATTTGATTTCTGCCGGGCATTTCCATTAGCCCGACAGCTACCTGAACTCAGGTAGATGCGGAGTATAAGCACAGGTAAATGCAAATACCGCAAACACATACAAAAGGTAAATAGAAATCCTTTTGCACTCTCTTGTGGTTTTTCTTAGTTTCCTTTTTATTTATTTAATTATTTTTGTTTACAACATGAAAAAGAAATGGTAGAAAAATATGACATTATGTTGTTTTTTTTTTTTAAGGTTTTCCTCTTTTACATATCAAAACCCATATTCCATTAGTTTTTAGTCTTTGATTCAAATTTGTTTTAATTTTTGTTTGTTTTGAAAAAGTTAATTGAATGTAAAGTATATAATAAAAATTAAACTTTTTCTCTGTTTTTCATTCAGTTGGATTAATTGAGCAAATAAAAGTCACAAACTTTGAGAAATTAAGATATAAGTAAAAAGAAGAGTGAGTAAATCGTAAAACAAAAAATCATAATAAATAAACCCGCCCATAAATCTTTTTTAACACACAGCCCTTCTCTAGAGGGTCTTTTGATTATATAAAATTGCTTTAAAAATGTGTATATATGTATGTGTGTGTGTGTGTGTTGGTGTTTTTTATAATTGAGCAATTCTGCGTTTCTTCGCATTTGCAACACCTTTCGTTAGTTTGATTTGCATTTAAATATTTTCACAATTTTTTTCTTATCTGCATCCTTTTCGTTTTTATATGCAGTTTTTTTTTAGTTTTTCGTTTTTTTTGTTCGTTTTCTTTTATATATGTGTTCGTTTTTTTTGTTTTTGTTTTTTTTCTTTTTATAATTAATTAATAAGAAAATTATAAATGAGCTTCCATTTTGGTTTTCCATGAAAAATCAATGAAGCTTCAGGCTATTCGCTTATAGCCACAAAATCAAGAGCTTTAAAAATTCTGTTGTTTGAATAAGTTTAACTTGTTCCAACTAAATTAGGTAATACAACGGATATTTTAGCCAAAACTAATCACAATCTTTTGCATTCATATTGCAAATATGCTTGAGTGTGTGTGTGTGTATATAAAGAGTGTGTCTGTGTGTGTGTGTGTGTATGGGTGCTTATAGCATCTCCAAATATTTCGTATGCCTCTCAATTGACTTTGCTGACGGCTTGCTTGACGGATGTGTTTTGGGGATTCCTTCCACGTGAGAATCTGTGGATCTATGGCTGTTTCTGCAGACGCAGCTGCTCGCTTATGTTTGTATTCTGGTAGAATAGACGCACGACGTGCGTGTTGCGCTCCTCCTTTGTGGCCAGTATCTCCAGCTGGAATGTCTCGGAGAAGCGCGTATCGATGAATGCGCCCAGAGCGGCCACGTCGCACTTGGCTATGGTGGCGCTCTCTAGTTCGCAGTGTTTGCTGTAGCGCGGCGCCTTGGCCAGCTCCTCGGGCAGCTGGCGGAACTGATCGGTCACCGCATTGTTGCCAAAATCTATAAAATGCACCTCGCACTTGCCAGAGTCCAGCAGCTTGACTATCTCGGCACGATAGAAGACCTCATCCTCGGGGAATTTGGCCACGCACAGTGCGCCCACCTCCAGCTCCGTGAATATTTCAAAGTTTTGCTCGGCATCGAGCATTTTGTCGGTCATATGCTCCAGAGCCGGCACATCCTGTTCCATTTGCACATAGAACGATTTGGCATTGTCGTACTGCACCACAATGCAATTGTACAGCTCCACCTCGAGCGGCTGTTGGACACCAGCCACAGTGCTGGCCAGCTCCTGGGCAAAGTCCTTGTAGTTGATGCGCAGCTGCACAGCCTGCCGCTCCTTTGTGTCCTCATTAGGCTCGTTGACCAGCTCGTAGACCTCGCCAAAATGCTGCTCCAGCAGCGCCGTGAAAGCCTCCTCCAGCTTGGCATCGGTCACATCCTGTGGTATCTCGCTTAGCTGGCAGTGCAGCGCCAGCGGCGGTATCTGCCAAATTGGATCAGGTAAGAGATACACCTGTGAGGTGACCAGGCTGCTGCCGTAGTCAATGAGAAACACCTCACAGCCCTTGTCCTCGGCCAGCAACTGCTTAATGCAGCAGCGATAGTAGCAATCGTCCTCCTGGGAATAGCACACGCCATTCAGTTGCTCGTCGGGATTTGTCAGCGGCTGCAGCTGCTCACTGGCCACGCCCTGAAGCGTCTTGACAATAAGATCGAGCTGAGCAGAGTTCTTCTTGAGCTGCACATAGAAACTCTTGGGTGAGCTGCCGTGCGAGATGATGCACTCTTTGTTGTTCGCCTGCACCTGGGGCTTCAGCAGCTCCGCTTCCAGCAGCTTTTGGAGCTGCTCGTGTATGTTTAGAGCTTGTTTATCCATGGTCTTTAGCCGGACCACTGGTGGCTGCGCCGACTTGTTGACAAACTCCACGGCCACCTCACCGTTGCAGCTGTCGATGAGCGCGTCCAACGCCTCGCGCGACTCCTTGGGATATTTGACAAAGTTGGCACAGGATTCCAGTGCATGCAGCTCCGCTAGAGGCTTTAGCTGCGCCAGCTCCGCGGGCAACTCAAACAGCTTGTCGACCAGTGCCTGATTGCCAAAGTCTATGAAGAGAACGCGATACTGCAGCAACTGCTTGGCCGGCAGCTGTTCCAAGACGCGCGCGCGGTAGAACTCGTTGTCATCGGCAAACTGCGCCACGCACAGCTCGCCCAGTTGGGCGACCTTTTGCTTGGGCTGCAGTTTGGCGCTCTCACCGTTCAGTAGCTCGCTGGTATTGTCTACGTAAACGTTGTCCGCCTCGAACTGCAGGTAGAAGCTGGAGGGGCTATTCACATGGGTGACAATGGCCACGACGTTGGCTGAGCCCGACTCGGTCTCGGATTTTTCGTCAATCTGGGGCTGCTCCTGCGGCTTGGGCTGCTTGCGCGTGCACAGCGGTAGCAATTGATCCAATACGTTATCCTCATCCAGCATCAGGTGTATGATGATATGCTCGAGACCCGGTTTCAGCAGCTGTGTGGTAAAAACCAGCTCACCCTCGCCCGTTAGCTCGGCAAACTTGGCTTCCGCCTCCTGGGACCAGCCCACATAATCTTCTGGTAGCTGCAGAGCGCAGCGCTTCGACAAACTAGGCGCACTGGCAATTTGCTCAGAGAGCAACAGGCACTTGGATGTGGAGGAAGTGTTGCCATAATCAATAAATCGTACCTCGTAGCGTGCATCGGGCAGCTGACGCAGCAGCTCGGCGCGATAGAAGAGTCCATCATCGTCGAAAAGAGCTGCCACAATGCTACCCTTCTCGAAACGCTGCAGCGGCTCCAGCTGCTGCTCGGCATTGCCCAGATACAGTTCAATTAGCTCCAGCGCCTTGGAGTCGCATTCCAGCTGTATATAGAAGTCAGCGATGCTATTCGCGTGCGAGATGTAGCAGCTACTGCCGCTGCTGACATAGTCGAGCGGCTTTGCAAAGCCATCGCTGACAAGTTTCTTGGCCACGTCGACGCCTTCGATATACAAGTTCACGTAGCTGAGCGTGTAGCAATCACCACGCGTTAAGTATTCATAGTGCAGGATCTTCTCGTAGGAATCGTTGAATATGCCATTGGCTGCATCTGCCCAGTCCAGTTTGCCGTTGGGCGCAATGGGCAGCGCGAAGGGCAAACAGAAGGGCTCCTGTTGTGAGCACATGCTTTGCTTAATCTCTTTGGCGTCCGAGACGCAATCGGTGTTGCCAAAATCTATAAACTGCAGCACCATCAGCTCGGCATCGAGTATTTTGGCGCGATACCAGGACTTGTCCATGGAATACATTGATATGCAATCGGCGCCGTTAACTATTTCCAACAGTTGCGGCAGCGATGGTGAAACAATTTGCAGATTTTCTGTCAGACGTTTAAGTTTG